CTTAAAAAGCTTCTGCACTGTTCTGATGGTTCGCTGTGTAAATCTGCAATGATTGATAGCATAGAAAACGCTATCAAAAGAAAAAGAACGTGGTTACGGCGAGCATTGAAATGTTTAACTACTATTATGAATTTTTCATGGGAGTCACCAGATAGGCTATTCGAGTTTCTTAAAAACCTTAAAATTTCTAATGCGATGTCACTGTTAGAAGAAAAATTCCGAAGAGATCTCGCCGAAAGAGTGCGAGATAACGCCGCTCGAAGCGGTCGGTTGTTTTTCTGTTCCAGGTGTACCCAAATGCACCCTTTGCCCTTTGCCGACTCCCGCTACCCATTTACCTATTGAAAGCGCTGTTTGCCGTACTATCATCGGGCCACCATTTCCGGATCGAAACAGGACGATGGCAAGGAATTCCTCACGATGAACGACTATGCCCGTACTGTGAAACCACTGATACAGAGGAACATAGTTTATTCCAATGTCCGGCCTTTGAACCTCATCGACAGATCGTTTGGCCTAAAATCGCCACTGCAGCACCAGAATATCGAACATTTAGAGAAGCTTTTCTGGGTATCCTAAGACGAAGCGTTTTTCCATCTGAGACCGATAAACAGTTACTGTTTACCGTCGCTAAATTTGTACACTCTGTTATTAAAGACGCTAAAAGTGTATATAGCGGTCATCTCTGTTTGTTACCAGCCATTCAATGATATGCTTTGTATTCAGTACTGGCTCTCAGTTGATGTTATTATTTTACAACTAACTAACCAAACTGTTTATATTGCTCAAATTTTTTTCTTTTTTTTAATACTGTTTTTTGTTTTACTAATAATTATGTGACATCAGAACGATGTCTCCACCAGACTGTGTGTCCTGGGGAAATAAATTCATTCATTCATTCCTGCCGTTACCAACCTGAAAGGCTGTAAGCCGTGACGGCAGGGGCGCCGGCATCTGGTTTAGCTGGTTGTCGGCGGCAGCGTTGGATGCCGGCACATTTTTACAATAGGCTGGCTTGGCATTTCAACCCCAACGCCCCCAATACCCGTCTCCGCCAAGCGTTCGATGGCAGCGTTGTTGGACTTTTGGATAAAATGTAAGTTTTGGCACACTGTACCCTGGCACCATCCATATTCACAGTCGTAGTTACAACTGACTCCGCAGTCCTCGTTTCCAAGCCTGTTTTTTTTCAACACAAAATTCGTTGACATAATTCAAGGAGTACAGATTTCTGCACAAAGGTATCTGTGAAAAGTCACCCATGTAACCGAATAATCATGTCGTTGAGTAGAAGTAGGATTACACCACCAGGGTTACAGTATTACACCTAGAAGTATTAGGTTAGTCTTACTGTCGTCTGCCGATACAAGGCCAGGCGCTTTGACCAGCATTATCCCGGCAGACGAAAAAAATTAATTTAGGACAGTGACGACCGGCAAAGTTGTAGCACTCTGTAAGTCAGCAGCAGTAAAAGCTGAAAATTTCTGTCGTACTTCCCAAACCGTCGACTGGATGGGAGGCCCGAATTTAGTAGAAGTCATTCAAATTTCTAAACTGAAATGGCCAGCGTTAAAAAAGTCGGATCCAAAGTTTTAGTGGCCACTAAAACTAGGCGCTCCAGCCCGGAGGCCCGGCAAGGTTCCGTGCAGTTCTCCAACATGAAACCGTAATTTTGTCATGATACCGCTCGGAAACCATCCGTAGCGGGTAAACTCAAAGCAAATGCAGGCAGGACATATACTGGCAGGGACTGCGCACCTGTTAGTGGACAACGGTCGGTCGCGCATCCAATCGACAGTTCGTGAAGTGCCGCTTGTAAAACCTCGCAGCATGCATTTTGCCGGAATATTTCTTGGAGCTTCGTCCTTGAAACCGAGCTGGGAATTTGAACGCAAACACGAACGCTGGACCCTTGTTCAGTGCAGGCGATAACCTGCTTTGACACAGGCATTTCCAGCACCGGATTCCTGCACTGGTCTTTTTAGTGTCACTATCAGTGCCCAATTACAATTAATTTTATTGACTGGTGAATCGTGACATACACTTACTGAAGCGCTCATTTAGCGATACAACAACCACCAGAATCTGGTTTATCAAATCATTTGGCTACAGAACACGACAAAGCAGTACAAATACGCTTATAGAAGTATGCAAGGGTGACGTATGCGAACAAACTCAACAAAGTATGGCCATAACGTATTACTTGTATGCTGACTGCTGAGGCATTTGCTTCATTCTCTAACAATCCCACAAATGTTTAGTTAGTAATGAACGCAATGATCTTAATAAGAACACGCTGTTAGTCTTTTCAAGTCATCCGCAACCATACTAGCTGTCCTCGCAAACTGTGGATAGAAAGCCATGTAAGCGCACAATGGCACAATATGCTGGGAGTGAAATACCAGCACCAGAACGGTGTATGCCGCGCTCTGGCTGTTCCCCGTCCAGCGCAACAGAGCAATCGGCAACTGGCACAGCGCCGCCGACACCACAATAATCGATCCAGCGACAACCATTCGAAAGGTCACCGGCAGAGATTTCTTGTTCCTCTGAGATTTACCATTATTCTCATCAACGTAATATCCTGAGAGCTGCGACGAAACGTTCGGTAATTCTTCCACAATCTTCTGCCGGGATTTAATGGCGATATAAATAATTCGCGCTTGTGAAACACCAACCAATACAATCGTCAGAATCAGTCCGCCTTCCACGCAGACGGCGAACCACGCCGCTCGATAATCGAAATACGCTGTGGAAATGCACGGTGCCACGACGAACTGCCCAAATTTTCCGAACATTACTGCGTTGAATATAATGCAGTACGTCTAAATAGCGATTAATATTCCCGCGATTATCGAGCAGTTAATGCGATTCCAGTAATAAACGGGGAATTCCACCGACATCCACCGATCCAGACTGATACAGCCGATGTGCGCGTTGTACAGCATCACGCCGAAATACGTGTCGGCCACGCCCAGCTGGTACGGCAGTTGGCTGAGATGCCGTGGTTCGATAATGCGAGATATGGCCGCGATGGGGAGGAAGAGGAGGAAAATGGATTCCGCCAACGAGAGTGATAAGTGTAGGTAGACGAAAGGTTGTTTATTTTTCCATCTGAGGAAGGTGATTAAATTGATGAGATTGCAGAGGGCACCGGTGAATGAAACGATCAGAAATCCCGTTGTCAGGAGATGCCACTGCCGGGTGGTCCCGGAGAAATATTCGTTACAGAGCATTGACCGGTTTGGCGTTGCGTTCATGGCGTTACCCAGCTGATGCCGCAAGTTTGACTATAATATTGACCCACTTCAGAATTTCATACGTACAGTTTGGTAAAATAATCTTTTTCCACCACATACCATCGTTTAATAAATAACTGACAAGCAGGTGATCCTGCGCTTCTGCTACGTTAAGATTATTGCAGCACATGCAGCGCAAAAAAAGAATTTCAGACTGAAGTCGGAAAAAATAGTTTCGTCTTGTGAAAAAAAGGGATGCCTGCTTTAAAACAAAATCATCTGCAGCAGGACTGCGGAGTCAGTTGTAACTACGACTGTGAATACGGATAGTGCCAGTGTACAGTGTGCCAAAACTTACATTTTATCCAAAAGCCCAACAACGCTGCCATCGAACGCTTGGCAGAGACGGGTACTGGGGGCTTTGGGGTTGAAATGTAAAGCCAGCCTATGTATTGTAAAAATGTGCCGGCATCCAACGCTGCCGCCGACAATCAGCTAAATTAGATGCCGGCGCCCCTGCGGCCACGGCTTACAGCCTTTCAGGTTGGCTGATGTTGCGATTGATTTTGCGGCCCGACAGCGAGAAACTGATATCCTAAAGTGTACGGCATACCGTGTTTTTATGTGTCCTCTAGTTTAATCTAGCTAAAAGATTTAAACGGTGTTTATTCGAGAAATCTAACGGATTCCTGGATGTGCTGCGGGAAGGGCTATTGTTACGCCGCACGTTAAGGGGGTGCTGTCAACAGCCAGTGGGACTGGCATCGTTCCACTTCAGGCGCACTTACCAGAGCAGCATCGCGCTAGGGCATTGTTGCAGGTCACGCTCCAGAGGTAGAAGGACGTGGTTGGCTACGTGCGTATACTACTCTGTCTATTAGCGAGAAACAAGAAAAACTGTCCTTATTTCCCTAGTCTGGGATCCACCTCTCAGTAAGTACGAATATAAGTACGAGTGCTGCTAATAAGTGGAATGAAAGCGCTTTTTGGTTTTTCCCAGAAAAGCGGTTTTAAAGCCTAATATGTGTATCGCACTGGCTCTCGTATGTCTACGTCTCTCGTGGTCGCACAACTATTCGCTCGAGGAGCATTAGTTTTCTTAAGCCTTACTGTATGGCCGAACGAAAAAAGTGACCCATTTGCAAGCGGCTTGTGATCATTAAACCATTACTAACTGTCTTTTTAACAGAACTACGAGTAGGCTTACAGAGAAAGATTAAGTTAGTTAGGGAGACTCTGTCGCAGTCTTTCTAACACTTTACCTGGCAAGGATGTTCCTAATACCAGCAAAAAGTTCTATAACCGAATTGGTTAATATTACTGATGACAAGAAACCGGTCAGCATAAGCTGCTGAATATAATTAAGTAATTCCCGAAAAGTCAGTTAATTAAAATATTGAGCCGGATAGGACGACAAAATTTCGGACAATTGCCGGCAGGGTTTCTCACGATTACAACGGTTTTTTAACGGACGGTTTCAAGCATCATTTTGTGAGCAGCCGGCATAACCGGAAAATTTGATTGGATCATAAAATATGAACAATAATTTTACGTCTTGGTAGTTGGTACAAACTTGTGCAATTCAAATGTATTCTAAGTCTTGCGCTGACACTGTGCAGCGCTGTGCATAATTATCGGATCCTTACAGAAACCAGTTTCCAAGACAGTGCGTGATATCTGCTTTATACTTCGTCTGGATACATAAATACATGCTAAAAACACAAGCTTCGTCAGGACGCTTAAATCACTTCATATAAGCAGTTAATATTATTATAATGTAACCCATGATCCGTCGAAACACTTGTCCATCTTGGCTATTGCTCGTAGCGTAGTGATCATGTTGCTAGTGGTTTTGGTTCTACTACCGTTTGCGTTTGGTCAAACTTCCGACGATATCGACAGAACTGCAGACCATATCACAGCTGTCAATCCTCTTGGAAATCCCTATCCAAATGATACGAGACTTCACATTCTCAACGGAGAACTGCGTATGTATTTTAAAACTGCATGCTTTTACGGGGATGATCTTAAAACTGAAGTTATGTGCTGCTTCGTATTATTGTAAAGCAATAATACTTAATGATTTTAACTGAATCTGACTGGAATCCGCTCGTTTCTGCAGGGGAGAACGAAACATTAAACGGGACATTAAATCTCTGCTCCAATGGTTCAAACCTGGAGCGAATTGACCTTGCCATCACCAGCAATAATGACTCTGCTGTAAAAAGTGATGAGATGCCGCGCCGCATGAAAATTTCCTATTTTCGCGGCTACAAAAGTCTGGTGTTCTATGCACGCGCTGAAGACTTGTGGATTATGAAATTCAGGGACTTCCTGGATCTTCCGAAATTTATGGGTGTTCATCGTATCGCACTGCCGCAGACCAATCGCAGCGTCTCTGAAGTGGAAGAAGCCTTGGCGTACGCATGGGCGCCCAGTTTTGGTAATCTATTGTGCAATAGGCGTGTATGCCTTATTGCATTAACCGGCATTTCCCGTACTCTCAGCTACTCGCTTCGAACTACATGCACCTGAATAACGTTAGCGACAAACTGTTCTCTTTACTAGAAAAAACTCCCATAACTCCGAGGCGTGTGCAGATTATTAAGTTCGGCCAAATCTACAGGTTATCCCTGCATCGCCCTGCTGGCAGGACAAACTGCTCAGCGTCCAGACGGGGCAAAGCCCCCGGACATTTACAGGTTTTCGCCGTGGGTCGCAGGCACGAATCAGCAGGGTTTCCCCTTACCAAAGCGTCGCCAGTACCCGGACTACTAACGTTTAGGCGTCCAGACGGCAGACCAGCTGCCCGGACATCCGTCCAGTCAGTACAGTTGTACCCGGACTGAGCACTTTCTAGAAGCCAACATTCACAATCACAATTTCAATCACAGTTTACTTAGCTAAGCCATCGGAAAGGTTCGAACATCGGTGGGCGCCATGACGGAGAGATCAGTACGATAGGAATAATTACCGTAATAATCTATCCTACCGACCTACTCAACGACAGAGTATGAGCTGATAATCTCAATGTGGCATAGCTAAGTCTACGAATCTACGCGAAGCGAGAACTGCATCTCCGACGATAATTTAATTAGAAACTCCGAAACTGCCAAAACCCGTAGTGAGAGAACTGATCTCCAAAGTACTGCCACTCACGGACTTATATAGACACGGCGCATCCGTGTAGAAACAACCAAAAGTAAATCCGAACACAAAAGAGAAAGATCGAGAAAGTACAGCGAATAATAGAAAGTACGAGTAAAGCCGTCACTTTACGTACTGTACTGCTATATTCCGTCACCGGTTACCGTCCGATCTATCTGCTATGGTTATGGAAAGTCGAAAGTTTTACAATTGTAGTGAGGAAGGAAAGGCCAATGTGAAAATTCACCTTGCCGCTTTTGAACCGGCAGTTGCCATTTACAGATATAATGGCTCGTTTTCCACGTAAGTCACTGTTTATTCATTAATCGATCGTAGATATCCCAGTTTTCAAAACTTCCTTGGTTTCCTTGTTTTTTCTCATGTTTTCTCATGCATTCTAAACTTCTCTAATATTTCTTATGTTTTCTTGTGATTTCCTGTAAATTCTAGCGTTTTCTTATTGTTCCGCAGATTTTCTTCGATTTTTTGGCCTAATTGGTTTGCTTAAATTTTTAACTTTTTTTTTCTTATTTTTATCAGTTAAATTTTCCTAAGGTGCTTTCGCCCGCTCGTTTTCTTGATTTCTGCTCTGGCTGTTTTCAGATTGACCGTTTTACCGTTTTCCTTCGTGCCAGCTATAAAGGACAAAGTTTTCGCTAGAACATTGCCCTTGAACAAATTGGGAGATTTTCCAGAGCGATACTATAAATTCGATCGACACTTTTCTGATGTTCTTTTGGGAGTAAAGTCTGGTATAAAGGCGCTGCTATCACGTCCGTTCACCCGGGCATTTTCCTTCCGCATGTACCTCGACCGGCCGATGTCCATACAGCTCCTGCCGGAACTGGAAAAGCTAATGTGGGAGCGCCTTCACGCTAACACAACAAAGGACAGCATAGGTATGGCAAATCGATTTATTTTTTTAAAATCTGTTGCGAAATACAGAACTGTCTAAATAATGTTGACATTCTCCGCAGGGTTCCCGCAGGTACGGCTGTGGAACCTGGACCCGGACGAACTGAGCGTCGATTTCTTCATCTTTTTCGTTAGCGGAGTATGGGATTTGTTGGCTCATCTCGACAGCCGATTATCGTACGCGAAAGTTATTTATAATAGACTCAACGGGATCACTCTGGATAAGAGACGATCTGACGCCGATTCTGGGATGGATGTCTATACGCTCAGCAGCGAGCCTCCGCTGGATGGTGCACAGCAGAAAGCGTCTGTTCTGCGAGCTTGCCAAGAAGAGACCTTTATGATTCCGCCATCACACTGTCCCGTGACAGGTGTACTTGTTTTGTATGTTCAGTCGACGATGGTACATTATTTGCGTATCAGTTTGCTGGACGAAAATGATGGATATGTAGAAAAAACTTTGGTAAGTTCAGTATTCTATCGGTATCGTCGATTTCAGAAAAATCTTTAGATACCATTGACAATTTACGTTAATGAACATCTGAACAAATTGTGTATAACATAGTTAAAATTACTGATTTTGACTTTTATATACAGAATTCCGACCAAATCTTAAACGCTGTACGACAAGCGTTTGCTGAAGCCAATCCCATAACAATCGATAACATTACACTGACCATTAGTTTAAGTGGCCGAGAAGACGACATGCAGACAGTTGATGGGTGAGTCAAGCTGCACACAGTCTTGGTTACTGGGAATTTTTTTCTGAGGCACGTCACACTTGTGTATTATCGTTTCAGGAACGATGTGTCCAAATTCAGTTTCTCCTTGTCGTACTCCAAAATTGACACCGGCTTTCGCTGGAAATTATGGCGCTATCCGACGAAGGAAGTCATCAACAAGTTCCTGCAGACAGCCGATGCCAGATTGGTTGATACATGGATACTGCCTGTGCCTGTCAGTTTTGACAATCTGTATTTAGCTTCGTAGTAGAAATAATTTCGCAGAATAAATCTTGCAAAAGTCTCAACGGTCTTGGGATAACCTTCTGTTAAATAACAAGAGAAAATCGTTAAAGACGGGATCGTTTTATAGCAAAACTTTTGACAGTGCTACTTTCACGTATTAGCAGTTTGATTATTGTGCTCAGAATGATAATTTTGATTATTGTTGTGATCAGAGTGGCAGAGCGGTGTGCAGCTTAACACAGATGCCGCAGATATCTTTATAATCGCACGGTCTCTTTTTACACGGCAGTTCCCGGTTGAACTCGTAACACACTCCCGAATCTTCTTCTAGTTTTCTTCTTTAAATTTCGCCGGTTTACTTTTAACGACAGGGACAGTTTGCTTGTTACCCGCACAACAGGATTCAGTTTTTCGGCACAACCGGCATTTACGCGCAAAAACAACGGCTGTTCAGACATACATACACCGGGTTTATTGAATAATGTATCGCCGAATGAAAATAGCGACGTAAATATTGTAAGCGGCTTGTAGTCGTCAAGCCGTATTTCTAAATGAAACTACGAGTAGGCTTATTGAAAATAATTTAGCTGGTAGACCGACTATTCGTACCAGAATTAAGATCTTAATCTAAAAACGATTCTATTCTTCCGTGCTACGTATGACGCCGGTTCGACGTTGTAGCAAAGACTGAAATAGTGTCCATTAATGGACACAGTGTCCATCATTGAAAATAGTTTGTCCATCACTGCTGCCAAAGGTGTCCATTTTTGTAAAATTCAAATAAATTATAAAATTAAAATGGGGGTCTTTCAATTTTAAATTAAATTCCTCGATAATTTGGTTTTCTTTGTTCTAGCTGTTTAATCAGTTGAAATAATTTGTTCCATGCATATCTAAGCTCATACTCGTAAGTCGTAATACGATACTGTCAGATCACCTTGTCGTTGTTCGCTACCTTGCCCGTCAAGGTGTATTTCGGCAGCCAGCTAGCAGTCGATCGGCCTGTCTTCTCAAGTACTAAACACATAGAGTACAATTACATACCTATTTCTTCACGCAAAATCGCAACTGTTTAGTGGCCAACGTTTGCGGGAGTGAATGTAAGATAAAAAAAGCGGTGGGAATTGCGGTTATAGAAAGATATGATGGGAATGAGTAACAAATAAGGCGGGTGATAATTTAATATTTTTTGACCAGAAACACGCGAAACTGCACCATTTAAGCACCAAAAAATTAATCTTTGCGCGCTCCGCGCGATTTTAAAACAGCATTATGTCGGTTTTAATAAAACCCGGAAACTGGGTTTGCCCAATGCGCTATCTTGTACGCGTAAAGGTTGGCCGGCTACAGTCCTCATGCAGATCAAGACATTTGCGTCCATCATTAAGCCCGTTAGCTTGCACAACTGTTAACTTGCACAAACTAGCGGTGAGTTTCAAAAATAGGGTAAGAATGAGACCGCAGAGGTGAGATGGGCTGAAGATTAAACTAGGTAGCTGGGATTACAGCCAGTGTTGTATTTACTATTGCCCCAAAACCTTACTTACTTTTTACTTTTCGTCTGGCTATTGACTTTACTATTTACTTTACTATTTACTTTTCATAATCTTTCTTCCTTACTTTTACTTACTTTTTACTTTTTTTATCGTAACCTTACTTACTTTTACTAACTTAGTCATCACTAGTAAACTAGTATTTACTATTCGTGTTTTGCGAAAAATCGCAGTACGCAACAAAAGTTTTCAATTTTGCCACAATTATTCATTTCTTAAGCATATTAAGTATCTAAAACAAAAATAACTGCTTGTACAGGTTGTACTATGCGACAGTGTGCACACCGATTACTTTCAGTTTGTGCTCAGAAATTTGTTTCAATAAAGAATTCGGTTCTGTGTAAAATTACAGTACTTATTTTTTTAACCAAAATTATCAAAAGTCATTACATCGTATCCGTTGCAGTGAAGCAGCACTAGCTAATACGCCTGGCAGTCACGTAAGTCGCCCACCTTAACCGCTGAAGGCGTCTGCAGTGCAGAAATTTTAGCGCTTCAGAAGAAAACCTGTACTGCCAAACGTAACTTCTATGGAAAAAAGCATGTTCAGCAGAATTCTGATGATGCCCGTCACTTTTATCTGTTGCGGACGTTTAGTAAAAAGACTACTTTACTAATTAAACTATTTCCGTTTCGCGCCTCTTTCTTTTACTTACTATTTACTTCTGAAGCCTCGGCTGCTCTTACTTTTACTTTTCCGTTTTGCTGCTTACTTACTTTTTACTTAATTAGTAAAAGGCAAAAACGGCTTACTAAGTATGGTTTACTATTTACTTTTACTAAGTAAAGCAACACTGATTACAGCGTGATTTGTAGATACACCTACTTCTTTTTACCGGCTTCTTTCCTTATCTCCAGCCAGCTCCCAGCTTCCCTATACCACAGCTTGCAAAAAAGAGATATCTATAGCATTTTTTATCGAATTTCTAGCAGTTAGCCCCGTCAGTCTGTCCGCTGGCTTCGCGCTTCGCGCGAATGGATTCCCGGTGGAATTTAACAGTTGTGTATAAAGATGTCGTTTCCTCAAACAACTTCTACAAAACGTCCCCTCGAAGCAGCCATTCAGAAATCCATCAAAATTTAAGTATTTTAATTCGTACAAAAGGTCAAACATGTTTAGACTTCCCCCCCCCCCGGGGGGGGGGGTTCGCAAAGCGTCCCCCCAGGGGGCGTCCATTATTGATTTTTCGCTATTTCAGTCCCTGCGTTGTAGGCTGCAGTCGTCCCATGTGTAGCTGATGATATGCCCGTTAATGTGCGCCCGCAGTGATCCTTGTCTTGCCTCCTGGACGTTTCGGCATATATACGCTGTAGATATATATGGTTTTATCCTTTACAAAACTTTAGTCTGGCAGGCTGGCACTAATGTTCAGGAAAACTGCAGACAGTTTTATTACCGGATTGTTAAGTTTTATTGATTGCAAGAACCAGGTATAAAGGTGTAAACTACTGAATTTAACAGCGACATTTCGTGAAACCTCGGCCAATGCAATCTTCAGCTGATTATAGACAATACATCTTACGAATGCCGGTAAAGGGTTTCTTACAAGGCAACCACGGTTTCTTACTTGCGCATCACAACTTCATGTTGTTATCCACCACCCTAACCAGAAACTGAATGGATTGTAAAACTTGAATTATGATTTTACGTCCTGCCGTCCTGGTACTAACTTGTACAATTAAAGTACGTCTTGCGCTGACACGGTGTAGCGCGGCTCATAATATTGTTATGAGCTCCTTATAAAATCAGACTGTACGTGATATCTATTACTGCAGTGGCTTCGTCTGGGCGGTAAAATTAGCTCATTTAAGCATAATTAGTTCGTTGTTAGTTAATATTGTATCCCATGATTCGGCGAAATACTTTTTCATCTTTGCTGTTGACTGTAGCGTAGTGATTATGTTGTTAGTGGTTTTGGTTCTACTACCGTTTGCGTTTGGCCAAACGTCCGACGATAACGGCAAAACTGCAGACCATATCAAAGCTGTCAATCCTCTTGGAAATCCCTATCCAAATGATACGAGACTCCACCTACTCAGCAGGGATCCGTGTACGTATTCTCCAAACTTTCTAAGTGTAAAATACCACTACTTAGTGATTTTCAACTGAATCCGGCTGAGAACCAATCGTTTCTGCAGGGGAGAACGAAACATTTGACGGGTCAATGAGCCTCTGCTCCAATTGGTCAAGTGATGAGCTATTTAACTTTACCGTCGCCGCCGGTAACGGCACTGTTCTACAAAAGTACCAGATGCCGCGCCGTGTGCAGATTGCAGCTCTACGCGGCTACAAAAATTTATTGTTCTATGCACGCGCTAAGGACTTTACCATTCTGAACTTCAAGAACTTCCTGGAGTTTCCAAAATTTATGGGCGTTCACCGTATCGCACTGCCGCAAACCAACCGCAGCGCCACTGAACTAGAAGATGCTCTGGCGTATGCATGGGCGCCCAGTTTTGGTACTCCCGTGTGAAATACAATTATTTTCGATAATGTTTCCCATTTCGCACATTTTCGCAATACCGAATTCGCCTACCGGGCACCAGACACACGGTATTCTCCGCGTCGCTCCCCATGACAAAATATTTTAAAAATTGATTTAGATAGTTATCGCTTATATATTTGTATAACCTTGTACACGATATTTATAAAACATCATCAGATTTTCTAATGCGGAACACCACAACCCCTTCCCTGGTGAACGGTACGCGAATCCACATTGTGAAAATGTGTCGAAGTTTGCTATAATGCAGCGAATTAACTGGCATTTCTCGAATTCGCAGCTTTTCATTATTTTTAACTGGAGCTAACCATTATCATTTGCATACTAGAGGACATGTGTTAGTTAAAAATTGAAAATACTACTTAAAAACGAAAAATACTCTTTTCCTAGAAAATCGTTCCATGAGTCCGAGGCGTGTTCAGATCGTCAGGCTGGGACAAACCTGGGACTGGTTTTCCAGTAAAGGGTAAATTAATATTAACTCGATCTTGATCATGAAGCAATACCGTTCGTTATCCCACGAAGGTCACCTCTAGTATCGATTGTCTACATTCTACCGTTGGACGAGCTGTCTACACCCCGGAACTGTACGCGGTCATGTATGCCGGCTCGGACCATATCATTCCGCGAGCTGCCAAAACTCGCTCCGCCTTCCGCTGAAATTTTCTGGCAGCGACTGGGAGAAAAGGGCTTTATACAACCCCCTGGAAATATCTTTGGTAGTGCTGCACCGCAAAGTGACTTTTACTCGTCCTACTATCTGGCAGAAAATCAGTTCTCGCCTGGTTCTTTCGATACCGACCAGTTACCGTCCGATCTATTGGCTACGATTCTGGAAGACCGAAAGTGGAAAAATTGTAGCGAGGACGGAACAGCCAATGTAAAAATTCACTTGGCGGCTTTCGAGCCGGCTGTGGTCACTAACAGAGCTAATGGTTCCTTTTCCGGGTAAGTACTAAGTATTGGTCGGTTAGTGCGCTTAGTCTTTTTTAATTTTCTTAGAAACTCATTTTTATGAGTAATTATTATTCTCGGGCTGTTCTCAGAATGACCGTTCTACCGTTTTCCTTCGTGCCGACCATCAAGGAGAAAGTTTACGTAAGAAAATTGGCCTTGCCCGGACTGCGAAATGTCTCAGGACGCTATTATAAATATGACCCGCGCTTCCGCGATATCTTTGGAGAAGAAACTGGTATTAAGTCGCTGCGATCGCGTCCGCTGAATCGGGCTTATTCCTTTCGTATGTACCTGGACCGACCGATGTCCATACAGCTCATGCCGGAACTGGAAAGGCTAATGCAAAAGCGTCTTAATGCCAATACAACAGAGAACAGCACAAGTATATTCATTCAGTTAATTTATTTGTCTAAAGATTGTACGTGGCAAAATGTAGAACGGTCTAAAAAAGTTGACATTGTTCGCTGATTTCCCGCAGGTCCGTCCGTCTGTGGAACTTGGACCCGGACGGACTGAGTATCAGTTTTTTCGTCTATTTTAATCGCTTTGTATGGGATGCTGTGGCTCAACTCGATGGTCGATTATCATACGCGCAAGCTATTTATAATAAACTCAACGGGCTCACTTTGGATATGAGACGATCTGATGCCGATTAAGTGATGAATGTCTTCACGCTGGGCCGAGAAGCTCCGCTGGATCGTGCGCAGCTGAAAGCGTCTATTCTGCGTGCTTGCCAAGAAGCGTCCTCTATGATTCCGCCATCACACTGTCCCGTAACAGAAGCATTTGTTTTGTATGTTCAGTCGACGATGGAAGATGTCATGCGTGTCCGACTGCTAGCCGAAGATGATGGATATTCCGAAAAAACTTTGGTAAGTTCTGTCAATGTTCCAGTTAGAAAAATTAATGTAGTTAACATTAATGGAGTTCTGAACTAGTTCGGAATAGTAAAAGATGAATTACCGAATTTGGCTTTTACATGCAGAATTCCAACCAAATAGTAGACGCGGTACAACAGGCGTTTGCAGAAGCCAATCCCATAACGATGGATAATATTACACTGACCATTACTTTAAGTGGACGCGATGACGACATGCAGACAGTTGATGGGTGAGTCAAGCTGCAGCCGACCGTTTTACCTGAAGCTATAAATTCTCGCTCTACGCTGCACTCGTGTGTTATCGTTTCAGGAACGACGTGTCCAAATTCAATTTCTCCTTGTCGTACCCCAAAATGGACACCGCGATTTACTGGAAATTGTGGCGCTATCCGACCAAGGATGTCATCAACAAGTTCCTTCAGACAGCCGATGCTAGGATCGCTGAGACGTGGACAGTGCCGATGCCTGTCAATTACTTTTGAGAATATTTATTTACTGTAGCTTTAGAAGGATAGTTGCGCTAAATAAATCTGCCAAACCTTAAATGCAACGTTAGCCTATCCTAACGATGCAGCTGCTTTTTTTAATAACAAAGGAGGTAAAGTTGTCAAGGGACAAGGGACAATCCCTTTATGGGCAACAATAAATCTTATAATTTCACCCTGGCGACAAACAAGCAAGTAGGCAAGCAGGTTCGGATATTAATGATAAAGTATTTAAAATGTGTAATCTGATGTTGATCGAATTTGGACTACTGTTAAAGTCGGCTAGGTTGACAATCAATAACGCTTCACGCATTTTTCCGTGTTTACGAAAGCCTTCTTAAAAATGTTCTATAGAACATCTGTAAGCATAAATCAAAAAGTTTAAATATTACGCTAATACCGAAGGAAAAAACCGCGCTTGATAAGAATTTACCGCTCGTCTGTTAAAGAGAAAAAGCAAAAAATAGTTTGATTGTTATTGTCAGTATCGGCGGTGCTGCAGAGCCGTGTGCAACTGGCCACAGATGCCGCACAGATGTTTATAAGCACAAGGACTCCTTTTACACGGCAGTTCCCTGTTGAACTCATAGCACACTCCCGGAATATTCTTCCAGTTCTCTTCTTTCGGTTTTGCCGGTTTACTTTTAACGACCGGGACAGTTTTCTTGTTGCATGTGGGCTCCGCATGATTCAGTTTCCCACACAGCCGGCATTTATGCGCAAATTGACAGCTGCTGTTTAGACATCCTCCGAGTCCATTGAAATACTTGCAGGGTGCATCGGCGCCTTGACTGATGGCTGTGGTGGAGGTTCCCGGTTTCGACGGCGTTCCAAGGGAGCGGTTCGCTGTTGTTTGTGGCACTCGATCGCGGCACTGCAGGGCGTTATGGTTGTCCCTTGCGCAATAACCGCAAATGTGTGGAAACTTGCAGTCTGTAGCTCGGCAGCCGCTCGGGCGGTTGTGGTATCGACAGGCACCCGGAAGCAGCTGTAAAGCGTGCGAAGCCGCAACTGCAGCTGACTGCATAGCGCGGCACTGTAGCGCCGTGTGGTTGCTTTGGCCGCAGTTGGAGCAAATATGCTCAAAATAGCAGTTCTTAAACGCACATCCAGAAGGATGATTGTGATGTCTGCATGCGAGTTGGCTTAATTTAGTGCTGCCGATGGAGAATCGGGAACTGGCGTTCAAAGTGGCAGGGTCTGGTTGCGCATACCGCATCCCACCTTCGCTGCGATTTAAGCTGTAGCTTCTACCTTGGCGCCCTGTGTTGTTGTTATACTGGCCGTGGCCGGCACGTGATTGTGCTAAACCTACAAAAAAAAGGTTTGAAAAGCACTGAATTATGCGTCCCCGGGACCTCAAACGAGTTTTCATAGGACACCGTTTTGCTCATACCAGAATCAAAGTCCTCATAATAACCGTCGCAATCCTGTTGACTGTGGTGCCGATTCGAAGTAGCTGGTTGCAGTCGTCGCACAACGTCTTCGATAGCCCGAATCATCTTATCCGCTTCCTGGCGCGCTTTCACGGACCGTAAAGTCCGGGCATTTTGCTGCAACGCCACCAGCACCGCGTTCATCTCATCCGCGAAATTGAATGCACTACAGATGCGCTGCAGCTCCCAACAGCAGCTTTCGATCTGCGCCTGTTTCTCCAGCAGCGTTTGCTCCAGCAGCTTAAGGTCATCCCTTAACTTGGTCACTTTATCGTGGGATTCGCGAAAGCGTACCGCAGCGTTATCATGCTGGCGTTTTACATCGTCTAGGATCTTCTCAACGGTTTTCTTTCCCCGAGCCAGTTTCTTGCGAGCGTGATAGTGCGTCTCATGCCCACACTGACATTCTTGACAGCGCACACCCCCGTTCATGCAGGCGCACTTTACATGGACGCCGGTGTTGGTTTGTGGCGTTTCCGGTAATCGACAATGATCATGGCAGACACGGTCAGTACTGTGGATTATACACATGGTGCTGTAGTAGTCGGCATCCACCAAGTATGAGTACTCCACTTCCTGGGTCTGCTTGAAGTTACTGTACCGGTTGGAGTCTTGCATGGCCGCCTGACGCTGATTCTGTGCGTTCTCCAGCTCGTCCTGAGTTTGCTGTAGCTTATTGATTTCCAGTAGGATTTTGTGCATTTCTTCTTTGATTTTTTCTCGATTGTCGCGCAGGTCTTTGAAGACACCTGTTGACTTTTCATCCAGATCTGTGATGCGGTAGACCATCTTCTGGATCTCATCCATGGACGTGTTCCAAGCCTTCTGTATCCCTACAACGTGCATGACAGTTATAAGATTTCGTGGTCATTAATTTGTCCAGTTCAGTCTTTTTTTTTAATGTTTTATATTTGTTACCGTTCATGAGATGTGAATTACGTTGCCAATCTGATGGATCGCGGCTGAGAGCCGAATTGTCCATGATAAACACATTCTGAGATTTGATCTTCCAAGGCAGAAGCGATTTAAAATCGAAGTTGTAAGTCCCGAGAGCGCAATTGGTTAGCACCACAATTAAATTGTCTATCAGTACATCCGGCAGATTTCCCCGTAGTCTTGCCATGGTGTTGGACAAGTTGACGGTCGCTCTGGACACGGTGCCGTTGATGATGAGGATCACGGCCGTTAACGCGCCGGCTTTCTCAGCGGCCTCCAGAATACAGGCCACATTCTGATCGTCTTGCTGTACTCCGCCTGTGTCGCTTAATCCCGGCGAATCGATGAAACGGAAGTCCTTGCCTTCCAGATTGAATTCATACGTGGAGCTATAAATTAAAGATAAATCAATACACCTGCGGAAAGTACAGCTTTTAACAATCAAAAATATGGTCGAGTTCGCGTAGCAATTAAAATCACATTCAAAAATTATTAATCGCCATGCGATAACGACAATTAAGGGAAAGAAGCCAGCTACAGTATTAGTCACAAAGTAAACAGGTTTACCATTTGGCCGTTTTGCTTTTGCTTTGATCCCCGATGGACTTCTCGCTGTGAGTATAGGCTTCCGTAGAACGATAATAGCGGTTCGGTACGGCTATTTTCGGCTGTAATAAATCGCCGCCTTGAAAAAAATTAGTGAGGTAGTTTATTAATGTCGACTTTCCCGATCCGGTTTCGCCTAGTAACAGCACAATATACGGTTGGTGGTGGCGATGATGACTGCGCCGCGGCACAAATTTGTACCAGATGGACGCCATTGTACGCTGCTTGGACGGAATTACGGCTTCGGTATTATTTCTGGATGAATCTTAACTTCAACTATCAGAAGCAAAGCAAAGGTTTTTAATACGAGACGTAGCCACTATTGCCGTAAATGCGCACTGTGCTTTGCTGAACCGTTTGATTGTTGACAAATGAATCGGCTGTTAGCGACAGGTCAGCGAATATTAGTGAACTGCATAGTGCATACCGAGACTCTTCATCCTAACAGCTTCGCGCCTCGTCAAAACAGCGGCAACTATTATCACAATGCCAGTGGCAGGCGAAATTGAACACCCGTTCAACGACACGTTCAGCCTACCTGTGTGGATATTCAGCCGTCATAAGCAAAAAACTAGTTCACTTCACTCAAGCTGCATCTAACAACTGTACAGCCTGTACTGGGTTGCACATACAATGTACGACAAAAAGAGGTTGAACCGATCAGTCGGTCCGCGGTTCAAAATAACCTCGCAACGACACGCCACCACTAAAACTTGGACGCTTACTCACTACTTTCGTGCGCTCGCGCTCCGTGAATATCAAAGTGCAGCTATACTAGTTGCATATCAAAAGGTGTAGAAAAAAATTTTAAACTTTTTGATACTAAACCTGTGGCTGTTTATGGCGAAAAACACAAATTCTAGCCATTTTGCTTTTCCATAGACTTAAGCATTGATTGCAAGCCAAACGGTTATGCGCACAGATCCTATGCTGTGCCTACGAGAAAGCAAAATGGCTAGAATTTGTGTTTTTCGCCATAAACAGCCACAGGTTTAGTATCAAAAAGTTTAAAATTTTTTTCTACACCTTTTGATATGCAACTAGTATAGCTGCACTTTGATATTCACGGAGCGCGAGCGCACGAAAGTAGTGAGTAAGCGTCCAAGTTTTAGTGGTGGCGTGTCGTTGCGAGGTTATTTTGAACCGCGGACCGACTGATCGGTTCAACCTCTTTTTGTCGTACATTGTAAAACGGCGGAAGCTGCGCGGGACGTGCATTCACTTAGTCAATGTTTGCAGAGGGAAGTGTTGTTGGCCAAGCGTGCCAATGACCTAGAAAAAGAGAGCTTAATCAATAATCAATATAATAAAATGGAAGCTACCTAGCAGTTTCCTGATTATCGATCACAACGCAACATTTGTATTCCTTCTTGGTACGGAAGATATGACGCAATAATAGGCTGCATCCCAGATAATGTAGTATGTAGTTTCATTGATTTGGATAATTACAAAATCATACCACATTGTGACCGCGCACAAGTGTATACGCATTAATCGGTCAAAGCGACGGACGGATTTCCTTAATGCATTTTTTCAATTTCATGCCAGCCTTGCCGGACGTAAGGATTGCTGTGGTACGGACGCTTTGTCGGTTACATTGGTTGAGTTTCCTGACGAATAGCTATTCAATTAGCTCGAATTTAATTTTTCGGTCACACACCAACTTGCTATGCATTCACGTTTTTCACTTTCCTTCCCGACTCGAGGTAATCCAGAGTTTCGAACCCATGCAACGGAGCGCTTGTGCGGATATCTGCTTTCGACACTTTATTGTTCTTGTCTGTTGCTGCGGGTTAGATAAGGAGAACGTCTTCTGGCAGCTGATGCGCCAGTCCGAAGTCGGTCATCTTGACCACACCGCCGTGGCAGACGAGGATGTTGCGGGCGGTCAAATCGCGATGGACTGTTGAAGAAAGCGGGTTCCGCGGCTAATTTGGAAAGATAAGCGGATCAGGTCCCGCACCGACAGCACTATCCGGTCGATGACGTCTGCTTTGGCGGTAGCCGGCGGCAATGTGTCAGCCGCTTGTTGTAGATGGCTGTCGTAAGACGTCTCGCAGTGTTACCGGATGCACTTGAGCAGAGATCCGAGTTAGGTGTATCCCATCACCAAATACGTTTCGCTTTCGAATGAATATTGTAAGATAATTCCATATTTGGCTTGTCAAAACATCACTTATTTCCTAGTGATGTTTTCACAGATAACAATGGCAGGCGAAACTGAATATTTTTATCAAGAAAATCAATCTGCGTAAGGGTAAGTGGGTTCAGATTTTACAAGCAGAAAGGAAGAGCGCGCTTACGGTCCATGCAGTTTACAACTGTGTAGGAACTGCAGACGCTGTACGGAGAGGTATTTTCTGACGGAGGAGTACGTAACATTACTGGCATGAACCATCTGCTGCTCATTGACCCAGATTGTAATCACTGTATCCTTGAATAAGTTCAGCTCCCCATTTCATTCCTGGTTACTGATCATAACTCAGCTCAGTGTTCTTTCTTTGTGGAGCACAAACGATTATAAAGCTGTAAGCCTGATTAGTTTCACCTGGTCTGCAAATCTGCTAATCACACCCGGCGCTGGTGACCTAATTTTTCACGCACTTTATCTGGCTAGATGGTTTATAGTGAAACATTTCCAGCCAATTTTCTGCCGTTATGCTAGACGCAGATCGCTATTTGTTTCGTAGTACTAAGTCGTGCATCTTATAACAGCATTGCAAACCAGATGAAACAAACCAGATGAAACTGTTTTAATGCAGACAGCAGCTGAAAGAATAGAAACGGTGGAAATAAAAAATGCAAACATACGTAGAAACGAGGTATAACAAAATAAAAATACTCGAACGTGAATTATCGATTCGAAACCATGTATCTATACTCGTAAAAATCCAGCAGTAAAGCCAAAAATTACAGATACAATCATAAAAGTTGGCAAGGTTATATCGTCATATACGGCTGGGGCGATTTCTGGTTATTTTAAAAAATAAACATATAGACGCGCGCGTTGAAATATTTGGATATTTTAATTTTCTGCTTTTTGGCGCTCTTTCGCTACACAAATATCAATTATATTGTTGGCGGCTTCCTCCATCTTTGTGAGCACCGCGGCTAGTGTCCGCCATGTTAAAGCGAAGGAAAGTGGAGGCGCAATACATGATCCAATAAGAGGAAAGAATTTAAGCACTTCTTCCGCTGCTTGGCCAACCATCAGCGGACGGGCGACGGTCGTCAAGAGACCCAACAGGAACTCTTTGGTAAGTACCAGCGGCATGTATTTTGTTAACGCTTCTTGTAAATCTTCCAACTTTACAGCATGGGCATTGGCAGCTGCTTGCAGAGAAATTGGATCCAGACCGAGTTGGCGCATGTAAAAGATGCTCTGGGTTAAAATCAACGCGATATCAGCCACAATGGACACTCCTGCAGTCGAACAAGAAACAAACTTATATTATAATACCGTATATCGCTACAGATTTGCAGTTAGTTTTCGGTTTATGGGAAATATGGAATGAATTCAGATTTTTTTTTAACCTCAAATGTAAATAATTAGCTTTAAAGGTTTTGTAATAAAAAGTAATTCGAGTATATTGTCTCTTGCACATGACTAACCTGGTACTGGAATTATAGCAACGGCACCAGAAATAAGACCAGTCTTCCATGTGTAGCCTCGAAGAGCCTCCACCTTCTCCTTGAGAATTGTTTTGCTCAGTGTCCCCATGACATTTAGAGAGAACAAATATGCTTCCCGCTTGAGTTTCGGTAAGGAATTCAAGATTTTTCGCTGCAATTCAACAAAGTCCAATTTATCCACCTCGTAACTATTAATCAGGAACACGTTACATTGCTCTTCTGGGCTTAATCCAAGCTTGTGTATAATGTCATTTCTGACAAGGTCAAGAATTTCTTTAACAGGTTTCTCCGCCCAGGTTCTGGGGTAGGCCTTGCGGTGCTTTTCCACATCAATGTCGCTTTGAGTGCGCACGTAAAAGAAATTTTTCTTAGCGTCCCGTATTGTTTTTGCTAACCACTGATCGTCCGCAGTAAACCGATTCGCAGATAACAGCAAATAAAAGTCATATCGTTCAAATTCAATCTTTTTGAGGTAATCATCATGATTAGCAAAGCCCGGCGTTCCACATCCAGGCAGATCCCAGTAGATTATCAAGCCATTTTCCGGATGAGCGTATGGTTTAGGTTCGGTGGTAGTCTCCACTATGCCAACTGCCGCTCCACCTTCGTCCTCTGCAGTGATGCTACGCGATGCGTTGATAAAACAGGATTTTCCCGTGCCGCTTGCACCGATAACAGCAATATTAAGGGGAACGTTTTTCCACGACTCGTTTTTTTCCTGGAGAACTCCTGCAAGCCCTCCAGGGCCACCTTTCCGGACCGCTTCCTCAATCTCTTTTTTGACGTTCTCCGCGCCAAGATTAGCTTTGGCAAATCTTATGAAATCATCATCCTCTTCCATGGTGTAGGATCAGTTTATCAAACTCTTAATCCTTAGAAATACCGCTCACCGTAGAGTGTTTATCAACCGGCAATACGCAATTCGTAAGTGGGGCCGTACCTGATAGATAAGGCCGATGCTGCGCATCTGCTAGGGTAAGCTTGAAGCAGCCCCACATTAGTTTTTATACAGGCATGGTTTGTATCAATTGTATGTGTGGCGGTTGTTTGAATTTGTGTCCACCAAAGCCTTATTGTGAGTTATGTTGTTGCGTGTTTACCATGCAACTTGCTCACATTAGTTTAGGCAGTGTAATTCAAACAACACTTTGAAATGCAAGCACGGTCACACTTCACTTCTCTGTATTATAACGTCATTATTTATACTGCAAACGTACTTTGTCGCAGAACAAATGCTATCTGTTTAGTAAACGTGTTTGCGCGCGTGATTAAGTATTTGTCAGTTACAACGTACAGGAAAGGTGACTATTTGCACGGCGTTAGGTATTTGACACTCATCTTTATACAGGAAAAGCAACTATTTGCACCATTTATCGGATATTTTGCAGTATTAACGCGACTGACAACTCGCAGGTAGAAAGGGATCCTGGCGTGGCAACGAATCTAATATTGACTGTATTGCATTAAGAGAATAAGACAAGGCTCCCCAGTGTGATTTCGTGAATAGGTATGCATAGCGTTCCACAGTATACACATTGCGTTCCACAGTACACACACTTCTGACATCACGGCGTGATGTCAGAAGTTTGCATAGTAACCAACAGGCACAAGCAGCAGTGCACGGCTCCCAGCTTATTAGCTCTTTGCTGAAGTTCTCGTCATGAGCCATGCCTTTCCGGTACTGCAGCCCAGCTGCGCTGGCTGTGTACGTATATGATTACTGTAGACGATCTGAACTCCGTCGACTGGATACTGTATGCGATACCGCCAAAGAGTTCCAAACTTCCGTCAGTTCCGTGTTATGCGATCGTAGTCCCGTTACTCCCGTAGAGTGCTGCTGCTGCCACATATATACGGAAATTAATTTTTTTATTTCAGTCTAAGCTGGGAAAGTTCATGGTCGCACTGCAGGACCGGTTTGTGCTATTAGCGTTTTCGATTCATCGCCACAATTTTCAGCAGCCAACTCCAAGGGCATAAAATTAGCTTTATTTAAATCTTATGACCGTGCCATTGATCGACTGTTAAAATGAATTCCACGGGCAACACTGTGCGGAAACTTGGCTTCAGTGCGGATAATGTGAAACAGATAGAAGAAGCGTACCGCTTGGGTGGAACAGCAGAATTTTCGCGCATTTTACAAGAAGAAGTGGATGGTTGGAAAGCTGTCCCGCTAAATATAGCGGTTATCGGGAAGACTGGATCAGGAAAGTCCAGTTATATTAACTGTGCTCGCCACGTCACTGCGGAAGACCCAGAAGGAGCGTTAGTCGGTATTACGGAAACTACGAAAATTATCAAATCATATCCCCATCCAGAAAATAATATGCTGCTCTACTGGGATCTTCCTGGCGTTGGAACGGAAAATTTTCCGCGCGAAACCTACCTTGATGACATCGAATTCAAGAGTTATGATTTTTATCTAATTTTGTCATGCATGCGTTTTACTGTCCACGACTTGTGGTTGGCCGAAGTAATTAAGAATGAAGGCAAGAAATTTTTCTATGTCCGTACTCATAGCGATAGTGACGTTCAAAACCAAAAGAAATCCCATCCTAAGGCATCTGCCGGCAAATCTGATGAGGAAATACTTCAAGAAGTGCGGAAGGACATTATCAAAAGGTTGCAACTTAACGAAGCCGATCAAGACAATGTGTTTCTCATCGACTGCCACGAACCATCAAAATTTGACTATGAAAAGCTGCAGGAAAGACTACTAAAATCCTTACCCGAATTGAAACGAGAAGTTTACTTGAACTCGCTTAATCCAATTAGGATGCTTAGCAAGAAAATTCTTCAGGAAAAACTGGATGCCTTGCGGGGTCGCGCTTTAATAACGGCAATGCTCTCCGGTCTGTGTGGTCTAGTATCAACACCAGGTGAATAATTACACTACGTACGACGGTGGAGTTACCGAGCACCCGCATATTTCTGAAGAAAAGTTGTACTTGCACGTTGTATCTACATATTGAATTGTCTACCGGACTATAATTTTTCTCATAAAAACTAAATGCTTCTCACTTAAACGAAAATAAGGATTACCTGTGATTTGGCAAATATTGTAACTTTTAACGTGAACACTTACTACGATGATTGAAAATTTTACAGAAGTTTCCGCGGCGGCTGACCTTCATCTGGCGATTCGTACAAGCACTTTTTATCTAGAACAGCTTGGGCTGGATCAAAAATCGTTGGCGGCAACCGCCGCAGCTCATGGCATAGATGTGGATTGCCTTGACAAACATGTTGGATTGCGCATTGAAGACCTGTCAACCAGCGATTGTATCACCTCCTTATATGAACAACTGGGCCATCAAACGCCTGCCCGGAGCATAGAGGAACTAAAATCATTCATACCGATTTTTGGATTTTTGCTTAATGGGCCCCTTTCTTCATTAAATACTTCTAATGCACTGCTCGCTATTTTGCAGCAGATGGAATCTGTTGCTCATAAAGTCATTGATGTTTGTGTGGATAAGGTGCATCAGAAAGTTTTAAATGAATCCGGATAAGCTGAAGAAGAGTTGAAGACTACCAATTCGACATTAAAGGTGCGAGATACAGTACATATAGACTTGTCACAGGATTTGCACGATACGGCTCACCAACCACAATTAATGGAGTCACCACAGAATGCACCACCAATTCTCCAGTAACACCGCCGCCGTTCAGATCAGCTTGTATAGGTACGAGTCCCGAGACATGTCCTGTTTCATGTCCATCGACGTTCCGGGCCCGCTTCTACAATAACCCAGATGACGATCACACACAGATGACGATCACACCTGGCCGCGAACATCGATGACGCTGAGGGAGACCGGCCGTCATGTAGACGACATTAGACGTGGAAGTTGTCCCGGAAGGCTGCTATCAGATAGTTATTTTCTTCGTCGCCAATGCTTGTGGTGATCAAAATGGCAAGGGCGCCAACCCATAGCAGTATTTTCAAAGGCAGCAATTCTATCATTAGTCCGGTGCAAGTCGCATATCCGCCAAGCTGCTGCATCGGCGTCGTGCTTTTGTGGAGCGATGATACAGCAGTCATTATCCGATGGAGACACGCACCCGCATTTACTTAATAGTGACATCCGCTACACAAAAGGACGTAGATGACACCCGACGAAACGCTTCGCCATACTATGAGACGGTCGAAGCTGTTCAAGCTGACGTCACACTACGGTTGTGCCGCTACGAAAATCAAAACTTAATTTCTGCAAATCTACCTGGACGATAGGTCGAACACAACTTCATTATTCATTGTAAATTTGTACATACAAATATTCTAAAATACTCGTATATTTTATAATACTCGTATATTCTGTTAGGTAGCACTTTGCGTATAGATGATTTTATATAGCATTACTTAGTTTTGTGCCATAATGGACCATGCAACTTACAAGCAGCGGCGCTTCCACCTCTTCTTGTTTTACTCTTGATTTGTCGTATTCGGGAACAAAATAATGCCGTAACTGTACAGCATTGAACAGGCAATTTACACAAATAAGTACAGTAGTTGTGGTACAATGCAAAAATCCAGGCATTGTGACGACGGTGCAAGGTGAACTTGCTAAACCGTTGCTTTGGATGCACAGACTCGGTTTTCGTTATTATGACATCTTGTCGTTGCACTTAGCTCGGGTGTGTTCTACGGCAGCACTGCATGGTGTGTCCTGTGTTAGGCGCGATTCAAGTATTACGTAAGGGAAATTTTCCACTTTTTGGACCACCCCCCCCACCCTTTTGTGACCTTTGTCCATGTATTACTTACTTCTATGCTTTCGAATGATAGCAGAAAAGAATAAAACAAGCAACATGCCGATGCAAAATTATATATACAACCACGCATAGTAACTGCGAAAAAATCCAGGCATAAATTAGTGTGACGATTGCGGCGCATGTGTTTATCATTTTCATCGCCCTGGATGACTCAGCTTTCTTTTTCCAAAAGACCATCTTCAGTTTTCTGCCAAGTCCTGCTTAGCGGCTGAATGAATCCACGAAACTGCCACCGACACCTCCGCCTCCACGGGAACTACTGCTTCGGCTTTCGGTTGGCACGTTTCTGGCAAACGAGCTGAGCGAAAGTCAGAGTAGTTGTTCGTATTTGGGTTTCCGCTACATCTGATTTTCGATGAAATTCATTCAGCTTGCTGGCCACTTGATCTGTTTGAGCGTCTCAACTTGCCAAAACACTAAGCGGCAGCACTCCAGCAAGTTCTGTATAGGCTTGGTTATGATGGTTGACTGGTTTTGCTCTACGATTCCGTCATTCATAATCTCCGTCGCCATAACGTTGCATGGTGGCCATTGCCCACGACAAGCGTAGTGTACATGACGACCGACTATCCTTAACGATGTAACTTTGGAAAAGGCCATCTCGTTGAGGGCGTCGGCCATCATGCACACTTCCCGAATCCTGGGCGTCTGCTGTTGCCGCTGGCTAAATAGTCGCCCAGTCTGCCCCGAGTTCAGCTTCGAACTGAGCAATGCTGTGTTGTTAAAGTCCAAGCCGAACACGCGCTCGGTGAATATCTGTACTGTGAAACTGTGCAAAACCTCCCGAATATGCACCGATAACCTTTAAATTAATTAGTTGTGCCGATACATCGCAGGACTCTCTATTACAGCCGCTGCATCGAAAGCCAAAAGTTGACGGCTGCGCAGCGTATGACATCCATTGGCTGACGTTTTCTTGCTTGCTCGAAGCGAATCCTAGAAAAATAAACGAGATGACATCATTAAAAAGGCCGTCGATGACAAAGCGACTGAAAAAAGAAATACGCCTTATAAGCACGTCAGTCGCTTACGGGCACACATTTTCGGCATCGCCCTCACCCAACTAATTTGAGCGATAATACATCGAGCGTTTGTGGGTTCGGTCGTCACTAAATGCCTAACATCTGTACCGAGCCGTTTGGTAACAACAAGACAATTAATCATTAAAGTACTCCGATACGTACTGCATTTATGGACTAAATTGGGCCGTAGCTGTACAGTGTGCCTCTACTGCAACATACACACTAGAACTGTGCCTTGCCGGCCCAGTTGTTGTTACCGGAGTACATAGGACGGAACAGCTATGTATTTCTATCCCTAATTTCCCATAAACAAGGTTGCTCAGATGCCACCGCGTGATTCTATTTGCGCCCCTGGGCAGCTGTTTCACACCGAAGCCGCCAGTATACCACATTTTCACCAGGTTTACAGTCGAACACCGCCACTTAAACGCCCGTTGCCACCGCTAATTTTCACGGAAACAGAAAGACATCAGCTAAGAACCGGTAAACAAAGTTAAACTGCGACCTACGGCGGAAATGGCAGGACATAATAATCAATCTAATATCAGATAATCGTTCACTGGAAGCACATCGGCACAACGAATGTCATGGGAAAGGCGCAAGTGTAGACTCTGGTCATAAACATCTTACATTAGGTAGGACCATACCCGGCTATAATCTGTATGGCTATTCCGGTATTAAACACTTCTAAACATGGTACAAAATTTGTAATATTCTTGCTGAGCTTTGACAAGAACTATAAAAGTTAATAATAATTAGGTATATAGTTATAATAGTTAATATAAATACTTCATTATACTTCAGCAGCATACTGGAGAATCCCGCTCCCACGAATTTCTGCGACAACGATTATCTCTAGAAATTCAGAGAGGGAACGCGGCATCTGTATTGGAAACCGTGGGCGAAGCGGATAAATTTAACGAGATTTACGATTAAGATTTCCTTAGAGAAATCTCTTTATAATGAAGGCGGAGTTATCCGCTGACCACCGCGCGCGCATTGGTCAGTTGTTCCTCCCCTGGCCAGGGAAAAGCAAACGCTCTCCCATTCCTGGCCACCTGGACTCGCCTATATAAAGATGCCGACCACCAGTCGGCAGCCATTAGTTCGCCCGTTTCGCCTGCAGAAGATTTTTCCTTCGCCTGTAGAAGATTTTTCGCTTTTGATTAACGTTTTAACGTTACCGAGCCTCGACGCTTACAATGTTTTCTCGCGAGCAACTAGAGGCTATGTCTAAGCCAGCACTGCGTGACCTCGTAGCACAGAACGAGTTACCAGTGTCCGTCAACAAGACAGCCCTGGTTAATCGTCTTCTGGCCTTCTACAACCCTCCACCACCGGTCGTGGAAGTGCAACGCGACCCGGATGTCATGTCCATCCATGCCGATCACGACGAATCTGACGACGATGAGGACGGTTTGGATGATTTACCGCCTGCCCCGTCACCACCGCCTCCGTGCCCCTTTGTGACGTACGGCTTGTCAGCAGCCACCAGCGAGCGCCTGCGTGATAATGGTTTTCAAGATCTGCAAGATCTTAAGCTTATCCCAGCGCATCTGCTGCCCACTGTGGTTTGCAGCCTCCGCGACGAACTTGTTCTCCGTCAGTACCTGTATCCTCAACCCGCCGCTAGCACCAGTACACTGAGCGTGTCCAACGTTGCCAACCACATGCGCACCGTGACCGTCGACGATGGTGCCCGCGCCACAGCTCGATCCCAGCATAAAAGGTCACGTTCTCGTTCCACCTCTTCTTCCTCCAGCTCATCATCCTCGTCTTCGTCCTCCTCAAGTAAGTCTGGCTGTTGCCTTGACGATGCAGCCAAGTTACCAACACTGGCACGCAAACGGCCCCGCCCGCATAAGTTTGTCTTCGCCCGCGCGCGCATTTCCGCCACCGGCCGCACTAAATCCAAAGTTGACCCACTGGACCTGCATCTTGACGAGTTCATGAGCGGCAGTCTGTCGCTGGCCAAACTCCTTGCCGGATCTCCGAAGCATGCCAGTGCTCTCGCTGAGTATCTGGATTACTGAGAATACTTGGCAGTTAAACGGCAGGACTACTACGCTAAAGCAGTACTGCAGTTTGATAACGACTTCCGCCGCAAAGCCGCCTTTGAAGGTTGCCGTTTAGATAACGCCACAGCCCGCAATGCAATTGGTGGTAAATACTTTCACGCTAAACATTTGTTTGCCGCCACTCACTTAGACTTCAACCGCACCGGCACCAACAACAATGCCGGTCGTTTTCGCACCTACGGCAATCCTAACGCCATCAACAACCGCCCCAACCCACCACCATTCTGCATCCGTTTCAACGAAAGCCGCTGCCCGCCGAATTCTAACTGCCTCTTCATCCACCGCTGCGACCGTTGCAATCGCACCGATAATGGCCGTCTGCAGTGCCCCATTATTGCCAATACTTAGCACTTCATCGCGAGAAGGAGACGAAAGCGCAGTTAATTCTTTGTTTTCGGAATCTGGTTGTTTTTGCTCTTCTTCTAACTACAGTTATTCTCCTTCTCACAATCTTGATAATATGTTATGCCTGTCTATTAATGAGTGCGGCACGCTGGCGCAAGAAAATGCTCTCTCTGTTGACAGTAATAAAAGTCTGGCTTTGTCTTGCGATGTTGATCTCTTGCAACGCTGTAAACTGACACAAAAGCATACAGTATGGCAGGCTGAATTAATTAATGACCCAGATGCAGAATTCTTATTGCAGGACATAACAAAAGGCTTTTACATAGTAGACACTAATCAAACGCTCAGTAACTCTGATACCGCTAATAACAAATCCGCATTGTCTCCACAGGCCAAAGCGTTTCTTGATAAAGTTCTCAGCGAAGAGTTAGCAGCAGGTTAATCTGTGTTCAAACACAACAACCCATGCGTATACAGGCTATCGGTGCGGTGCCTAAGAAAGATACCAATAAATTGCGCCCGATTACTGACTGCAGTCGTCCAGCAAATGATCCCCTAAATGCTTACACTGCACCTGTGCCCTTTACTTTCGAATCTATTGACGACGCGATCGCCATCAGCAGCCACAACACTTTCTACGCTATTGTTGATTTGAAAGCCGCTTACCGCTCGGTACCTGTATTCCCACCACATAGGCAGTATCAGGGTTTTAGATGGCAGTTGCCGGGCGCGCCAGTACAGATTTTTGTTGATAACTTTTTTAGCTTCGGTTTGGCGTGTGCCCCATCAATCTTTAATAGAATTTCTACGGCTATTGCGCGGATGATGCGCCGGCGCGGCTATAAAATTGTTGCATACCTTGATGATTTCTTACTTATAGCTGACACTTATGCAGAGTGTACAGCTGCAAAGGAATCGCTAATTGCGCTGCTTATAACGCTTGGCTTTAGTGTAAACTGGGAAAAGCTAATATTCCCAACCAACCGCGTAAAATTTTTGGGCCTCATTAGTGACTCTTGTTTGCAACGCGTTGAACTCCCACAAGACAAAATGTCAGCCTTAATGGCTATGTGCGACCATTTCCAAACGCAAAGTAACATTACAAAATTGGAATTACAACAATTGGTGGGTCACATGAATTTTGCAGCACGAGCAGTCTATGGCGCACGAACTTTCACTAGAATTTTCATCGACGCTATTGATGAAGCTTTCTGCCCCTTCCCATCGGTTACGTTTATCAAAACTGCTAAAAATCGAACTTCATTGGTGGGTGCGCCTTGCCATTCAACTGAATGGCTTAGCCCCATCCGCCTTCGGGCTACAACACTGTGTGCGCTATGTCACTACAGACGCTTCCTTCTCCGGGTTCGGAGCTACCTGGGGCCGGCAATATATTGCAGGTAGTTGGGATACAGGCACCTCACCTCCGCACGCTTGCTTACGTAACTGGGTGGCGTCTCCCATACTCGATGCATCAGTATCGGACAACATTAATTATCTTGAACTGATAGCCGCTTGTATTCCCCTATTGATTTGGGCGCCAAAACTGTCCCGTAGCAGAGTTTGCATTCTGTCTGATAATACACAAACCGTGGCATTCCTAAACCGTGACTTTCGTTTTTACGCTCAACATATTTTTCGGGAAAGCTTAATACCGCAGCTGACCGACTTAGCCGTTTGAATACACAGCCGTCGTCCTTACTTACAATAAAAAAGTACTGCTCTCTTGGTGACCCAGATAATGACGTGGATTACATTTATAGATACCCCAATCAGGAAACTGGATGCTCAGTTGCAGACATTGAGACACGCTTCCTTGAGCAGTGCTTCCCTTCGCACTCGTAAATCTCAATGGGAAAACTTTCGTACTTTCTGAGCCCTCTTTGATTTGACCCCTATGCCAGCTTCCACTCGCACGCTCTGCCGCTACATTGCTTACTTATCAACTAAATTTCAGTACTCATCCATTTCAAACTATTTGTCCGCGATTTGTACCTGGCACAATCTCATGGACTACGCTAGTCCTAATTTGCAACATTTTGCTATTAAACAAGCTCTTGCTAGTGTAAAACGCTCCCGTTGCGAATACCCTAACAGGAAACCGGGAATTTCCGCACTCGATTTACCCCAAATCTACGCTAACTTGCACACTATTCGACAGCCCGTTCGAACAGCCTTTTGGTCTGCATGTGTGGTGGCCTTTCACCCGCGCAGTAATTTGTTCAAAAGTAAAGCTAACACTCGCTACCTCCGAAAGAAAGATGTTTACATCAAAGATAACACGCTTGTCATACGCTTTTCCGAGTTAAAAACTAACCGCTTTATCGCACAACAACAAACGTTACGCTTGCACGCTATCGCCGGTAATCCCTTATGTCCCATTACCGCGGTCACGGCCTTACTGAAGAGGTTACGTAATCAACTTTCAAAATGCCCCTTATTTTCTTATTTTGATTCTGATGGCACCTTACACTACATGTCCGCGCATCTGTTTAACCTGCTGTTAAAACAAGTCGCAAAAGTAAGCGGGTTCGCACCCGCTGCCTTTTCTACCCATTCTTTCCGGCGAGGCGGTGCCACATTTGCTCATAAGTGTGGCGTACCTGATGCGGCTATCCAAGCTCAGGGCAACTGGCGGAGTGACTGCTTCCGGATATATACTTCTCGCGTCGACGATCTTCGCAAGTCGTTTTCAGATCTAGTCGCCGCTCGCATTTTGGATGATTTTGGCTGTTAGGGCACTACGTGCCTCTTTTATGATGTTATATATATACGTGTCCGTATTGCTCTTTGCTTGGTATCCGCTTGATGCCCGGAAGTAAAGTCCATACCCCATGCACCTTGTTGCTTGCCGTTAAACTCACACACTCCACATAACGACAACAGTTCTCATTATTTGCTATAATTACGAATATGTTTACTCATATTATGTGAACAAAAGTGTAATGGTGCAGTATACTCAATAAAGCATGTGACAGTTAATATAAAATGCTGGTATACATTTTTCGCTCGGTGTTAAGCAATGATGAGATTACCTTGAATACCTTCTGATTCATTCATTCATTCATATCAAGTGCAGCCAACTCGGTTAACGGGACTTCAACGTCTGGTCGGTAAAAAACAGCTAAAGTTTAACAGCAAAAAGAGATTATTATTCGAGCAGATCGACCGTTTTCAGAGCGAACTTAAAGAAGCCAACACCGCTAACACTGAGTATCTCCATATTGGTTTTCTGAATCCGCTCATACACGTTCATCAGAAGCATGGCCAACGTACTTTCTCCGATTTTCTTCTTTGCTCTGGCGTGGATTCGCTTCGCTTTCCGGAGATTATACCGCGATCCTTGAAGTTGACCATTTCAACCAAGTAGGGCGGTGGGTGGTACACTTCATGGTTGTAGATCTTGTACAACCAGACGGCTTCGGGCTGCTTCCAACGGTCGAACAACGGCAGGATGCGTAATCGCTGATACAGCTCGGGGGTTACCCGCTCTTTGTAATCAGTAATGACCTGCAATGCTTTCCGTTGGGCTCTGGATAGTTTGCCGCGTAAAGTCGAAGATGCCGGTGACCACGTGTCCGTGTCTTAATAACGCTAATCTTGGGCCCAAGCGGAACCACAGTCCACAGTATGGTGTACGGATGCATTGTAAATTTTCAGGCTCGGTGTAGAGTATAAAAATGGGCCGCATGGCGGCATGGGTAATTTTTGGCAGGGGAAATGCATCAACCGGCAGGAAAAATGTCCGCTGCCAGAATACTATCAAGCCCGTCTGGGAGTTTATAGTCTGGCTACTTTTTCAGAAACAAGGAACCTTCTCTGCTGTTCGAGGCTATGAGTATCCTTGAAAATTTCCACCAAACCAGGTGTGCCCAAACCATGTGTGCCGTACGGCGCCGTCGGTTCGGCAGAAAATATGCTTAGCAAATATGATGATGTACACATGTTATTTATTGTGTACATCATCATTAGGTAGGGCTTGAGAATATATAAGTCATTACGGGAAAAATGCAACAATTCAGTGTTGTCACTGTTGCTATCTTATCTCCGTTGAACTGTACACCGCGCTGTGTGCAAATATGAGCCGGCAATTCGGCTATGATTCGGTAACAGATGCTGTATATTGATTCGGTAACAGATATACTTCTACCGGTTCCGTATAGAGTTATCGGGACATAAAGGATCGGACAGGGATGGCTAGTGGCTACGAAGCTGATGCGCTGAAGTTGCTGAACCCGTATTATTTGAAAGTAAAAACAAAAATGCAGTAAAAGAGCGACAGTATCGTGTGCGTAATGGTAGATTCAATTTCCTCTCTCGGTATTCAAATGAAATAAAGTCATAGTATAGTTTTTTCAAGGTAACTGAGACCGGTTTTGTGAAAAAAGATTAAACCACAGGGCAGCAAAAACCATTATAATTTTAGGCAAAGGATGCGAGCAGCTGAGTTACGTAGTTAACTTTGTCCTCCGCTTTGGTTAACTTTGGTTTCGAAATGTTACCCTGACAAAAATGTGAATGTGAATCATGACCCGGAATGTGAATTATTACCCTGACAAAAATGTTGCGCGATGCAATGTGATGTCGGGAACGGTCCGGTTGTGCAATGTTATATAGCCCATATCTTAGGGACTGTATTCATTGGCGCCATTTCCCATATCCCTCACACGGTAGCTTGATGATTTACTGAAGTTTTAAATAATTACTCATAGATGAGAATAATGATTGTCCGTGAACTCTCTTACGTAGTTTTCGATAAACATGGATGCGTTGGTCTTGTATAAAAGGCTTCGTAACACTTATTGCAGGATCAAATGCTATTGTGCGCACGCGGGTAACCTAAAATCAATGTGTCTGCCATGGCGAGAATTTTCAGTCTGATACTTGTCCTTTGCTTAATCGCAATGTCATTTGTCTGTGAGGAAAATGTCGAGCCGCCTCGGATCAGATCGCGCATTGCACGAGGTAATCATTGTATCCTAGAATTTATTGCTGGCCAAACTGCCAACTCGAAATGCTGTTTCTTTGACTGATTTACTGTTTCTTTGACTGAAGCTGTTTCTTTGGCTGATTTACTTCGCGTTCATTTGATAATTCGTGAAACAAATTAATTGCACGTTTTGATAAAACTAACTTTATTTTTAGCCGCGTTAGCGCCAAACAAAGCCGGGACCGGGTGGAGCGACGTTCTAGTCAGTCCTAACGCCTTTTTGTCGGCAACGTACCAGGGCTTCCGGATAAGCATCTACAAGACGGCCAACGCGGATACCAATTTGTCGGTGCCAACGCAGTACTTCTATCCACCGGCGTTGTTTATCGACCCAACTAGCGCCAAGAGTTACCTAAATTCTCTCCAGGAAAACCGGCCGGAAATGAGCTTTACGGTTCTCATGTGGGATGACGAGTATGAAGAGTTTATTCGCGAAGCGGTTAGTAAAAGACTGGGACAGAAGATACCGCGAGAAAGCATCCGCGTGCTGCCGATCGAACAAATTCGCATTGACGCCCTCGGTAAGCTATGACGATACACGTGATTACACGTGTATTGTATTTGACGATAGACAACAACGAGTCAACATTGTGTATCGCGCTACTCAAACACTTATGAATCTTCCTAGGTTTTGCGCCAAGCAAGTACGAAATAGTCAACAACTGGGTGTCCTATGCTTCACAACCGTCGACCTTTGATTTCCGCTTCAGTTGCATTAATAAAGCAACGTGTGATGACCTAGCTCAACATGTCAAAGAAAATCCACAGTTATTCGTGTACGACCTGGAGGTTTCGTACAGCCTGATTAATGTTCGCAGTGCGCGCCGAATTATCCAAGTCAAAGCAGAACATGTGCAGGCGGGAAAACTGTTCAGCCAGCTGCAACAGCAAGTGCCCAATACTAGTGTTTTGTACATGAAAGCGGACGATGTCACACAAATGACCTTGGAGATTGCCAACAACGTTATGGCGACGGAAGTGGTGGATGATGAGTTTATAGGACAAGATCAATCACTGACTATCATCAAAATTCTGGAAAGTCTGCTGCAAATGAAGCCAGAATCGTCGGCAGTGTTTCAGGTAAGGCTTTCGGCTTTCAAATTTAAAATTCTTCCTTTTTACGTATGAAAATAATTACATACGAAGTATCAAACAGGTCATCATGCCCAAAGGTCAAGGTCATAATGACCAAAGCAGCTATATTTAATGTGGTAGCCAGGACCACCAAAACATCCGATCTTAGGCTAGAATTTTTAGACGCACAGATCGTTCCGACGATTACGCGCGTATACATAAAAAGGAAGGTAGAAAAATGAATCATCCGCTTCCGGTAATTTTGCAAATTGCAAAGGATTGTGAACAAGTATCTCAGCATGGTAACCGACCAGACCACAAATACTTCTCTTTGCGTACTTTCAGGAGCAAATGTGGAACTCGGTTTTCTGGCAAGACGAGACCACCCGGCCCGACCGGGTGACCAGCACGCTGAACGAATATTACAAGAAAGCAGACGACAAGATGCAAGAGAAAATTAGGGACGAACTAGCCAAAAGCCAAAGCACTAGTTCCAACGTCGGCGGAGCGGTCGAGGTGGGCTTCTTGGGTGCCAGTATCAAAGCCTCAATGGAAACGGCCTTCGCCAGTTCCAATTCGTTTGCCAGTGAACACGAAAAAGAGCAGTTTATTGCCACTATGGCCGAAGCCAGCAGCAAGAGCCAGTGGAGCGGGGAGCGGTTTATCGTTAAACCGACGCAATTGATCCGCACTAACATCGCGCGCCTTCAAAGTTCCGCCACAGTCACCAGTGTTCAAGTCCGTGTGGCCAGGGCAGAAGCGCAGCTGACCAGTCGCATCAACCTGCTGGCACAACCACAGCTGTCTAATGATACCGCAACGAGCGATATTCCGACAGGATCGGTTCAGATGTTTTACGGGGTGGTGTTACCGTTAGGCTGGCTGCCTTGCGACGGTTCCGCTGTTGACTGCAGCAAATACCGACGCTTGTGTGGTATCCTGAGAGGTGTCAATGCCACCGACATTCGTACGCCTGATCTTCGCGGGCGGACAGCAATCGGGGCCGGTAACGTCCTGCTTCCGCACACTATTGGCAATCCCACTAATTACTCTTTTTCCATCGGTGACGCGGGTGGCGAAGTAAATCACAGACTGAAACTAAACGAAATGCCATTACATAGCCATTCCTACACCGCTCTTCATCCGCCTATGGTCCGATATTTGTCGACACATATATTTTTTGGTAACCAAACGCATACTTTGTACTATTCAAAGGAGTCTGTTAAAAACTATGAAAGCACAAATTTTCAAGAATCACGAACAACCGGGAGTAGCGGCACCGGCTCTGCACATAATAACATGCAGCCCTATCTTGCTTTGAATTTCATTATCAAGACGTGAAACGTATGTCTTTTTTACCATATTGTCGCTATGCCTTTGAACTTTGATTGCTCTGTGCTTAAAACAGAGTGTTGCAAATAAATAGCATCTCTTTATGTTGCTGCATAGATGCAACATTGCAGACGCTTTTCCGATTTTGATGTCTGTGGGCTGAACTATAATTATTACGGTTTACTAAATGGTTTTACTCTTTACTAAACGGTTTTACTCTTCGCAAATAGTAATTTGAAACCTTGGAATCGTAAAGGCTGCACGGATGCATCCTTGCGCTTGGAATAACCACATTGTGCCCAAGGTACAAAGGTTCAAAGATACTGAAACTGCCGTTGAAAACTCCGGGACGACTGTTGTCAAACGTTAGCCCATTACTGGAGCTGTGGCAATCATTTGTGCCTGTACGAACTGCGAAGAAACTGCACGGTCGAAGTCAGTACGGAACACCGGTCAAGCTAACACATTTTCTATATCAAAAAGATTTAACCAACGTTGGCCAATTTGCTGGCTGACCAGACGTGACATAACACAGTCGCTTTTCCCAGATTAATTGTACTGCAGTTGGATTCCACCGAATTTCCGCAACACGACATTTTTTGATTGTGTTGAGCGCCGTATCGGTTGAGGCCGTATACATTGTTGTGCTACAGATAGTGTTGTTTAATGATTATGTAAACACAAAAACATCTTAATATAGTTTCATCTCGGTAGCAGTGGTAGTATCATCTTCAGCTGTATGTGGATGTCTTTCAGTCTAACTATGATAAAAATCGAATCAAGTGCAGCTTGCAGCATGAATATGATGGCCGCGAACCTTGTAGATCGCCCAATCCCTGTATCCCGTCATTAAACTCATTCTGAAGAAGACAAGATTGGCTGTCCAGCCCAGCACACGAGAGCCGTGATGGCTAATGTCGCATAGATAATGTAGCCACTAGCCACTAGATCGCTTCTTACGGGGAGCCGTAACCTCACTGCCGACAGCACCGCCAGCTCGGGCGGAATCCCTGTTCTGAGTTTGGCTGACGGCTGTAACGTCATGGCCAGTGGTTTTCTCCCTAGCGGCTTTGAGCTTGTGTCGCTTGTACATTACGTAAAGAAAAGCGCCAAAAATAATGCCAGCCGGTAGAACATAGCACCAGAACTCGGTAAATACGATGAGTGAATATTGGAAGTCCGCAGTCCACAGTCAGGATGATGACGATTGCTGGTGGCGATACCTGTAAATAAGGGAATCAACTTGTACTATTTGCATAGTTGGTACTTCAACAGTTGGCCGCTGTAAATGATCGTTTTGCAGCCGACTAGTCGGCAGTGTAATTTTAAAATGCTTATGGCTACATAGCGTTGAAAAAAGATTTTTTCAAGTGAGTGACGTGCTTTGACATTATTAAGGAGGGCGCTGTCGGGAGCCTCGAAAGCGTTAATTTCTTAGACAGCGTTGAATTTTAGCGGTATATATAGTTAGAGGAAATGAAGCAGGGGTAATGTGTGGTTCTACAACACGACCAGGGAAGCGAGTTAAACTCGATTAAATGAATACGTTCGCGACTCCAAATACGTGCCTCCTCGTACGTACCATAGTGCATCGAAGATGATCTCTGGAAGCATGAGAATGTGGATCTACATCCAGTTGCCCAAGCCTAGCTCACAGCTGTGGCTCTGGTATGCCGATGATTGTAGCTAAAGGGAAAGGTCACCGCCCAGACGCGATCTATCTATGGCAATTATCGCGTGGGCATGGTATATTCCGGAGCTGGAGATGAAACGGGCGTATACCCTAACCCTGCACTTGAAGGAAATGTGTACAGTGCAGCCACACGCACTTGTACGACCGCATTCACCATTCACATACAGTATACGGCTTGCAGCTAGTGCATGTTAGAACGTGAATTGGCTGAACGTTTATCCGGCTATACAGCACCGTGCCGCTCATAGCGTACAAATTTCCTCAAGTGCAGGGTTAGGGTACAGTAGCAGGTGCAGGCGGAATAGGACAGATTCTATCCGCTTACCACCGTCGAAATTACGTCGAAAGGCTTAACCAGTAGAACGTGTAGGAGATTGGCAGCCACCAGATTAACCAAATAAATGTTAAACGGGATGAGGAACGCGTTGGCTCGGAAGAAGGTTAGGAGAACCAGCATGTTCAAGATGGCGGTGATGACGGCGATGAACACCATAACGATCGCAAAGTTATTCCGTTGTAGAGGCACTTCGAAAAAGGATATCATCCCGTAAGTGGGCGAATTGCTGGTTTCGTTCATGCTTTTGGTTACGAACTATTCCAATGTGCAATTGAATCACGCTAGTAACTTGAAAGTATTTGCAGTACAAGTCGAATAAAATTCTCCGTGCCAGTATTTTTTTCTCGCACCAGTACCTAGTGACATGTGTCCCGGGAGTCTGTTCTCCGATCCATAGCGACGGGTAAGAGAAAAGCAAGCAGGAATGGTCTCCCTTTGGGAGCGGTATCGGTTTACCGACTTCGTACCCGTATTTGCACAAGTCATTAAATTCTAGGTTACGCGACAGATATTGTTAATTTGTCCAAACATTTTTGTTGTCCGTGCTGACACCGAATTTTCTTAAGACCACCATAGACTGACCGAATGGCGACAGCGTCAATATTGCCAGCCAACGGTGGCCATGTGGTTAGTAATTCTTTACCACGGGGTCAATTCGACTTATAAGCCTTTGACTCGTTTTCTTTGAAACTGCTGCAAAAGCTTGTTCAGCCACAGCTACTCGTATTTTGGATTTTAAACCAGTAAAATACGTCATCAGTAAAAATGCAGTTCAAGTTCTAAATGCTAGGGTCCAAAAACACTTCCACACAAGTAATGCTACTTATTTTTTTTTGTTGATATGGAGTAATATGCAATCCCTTGGTTATCATGCCGTTATACTGTACATTTTAGTTGGCGAAAGGGATTTACCAGTTCTCTTGTTTACTGAGCCTGTTGAAGATTAATCACATCTTGCCTAAAGGGAAGCCTGCTTGTCTTTACCTTTGGTGACTATGCCTCATCTAGCAGTTTGATCCGTATCCCCAGGCCTATCCTGCTTAGTTCAGTACCCTGTGTACAGAGTTAACCGGTTGCGCATCCTGCATTTCAGTTACAGCTGAACGAGTGCTTTAATAATTTTTAAACCGTGTTTTGATCCAACACAACGATATGATGGATGCGATGTTTAGTTACTAGAACAGGTTTTTGTGGCGAATCTGGCGATTTTCCATCTGACTCTCTGTTACCAGTCAAAAGTCTAAAGAATTGCCCAAGCGATATTAAGGCACCCCACTTGCAGGAAGCGATCAGTGATGTTCAGTTATTTCCAGCACCGTCATTTGGAATTTACGGATGTAGCCTGCAGCTTTCCAAAAATATACCGGCAGTTCATCGTTGTTCATCGCATCACACTGATCACAGATATTTAACACAGCTAACTGCAATCACATTCTACACTAATTGTCATGAATACCCCTAAACACGATGTTTACACTTTTCAAACTAATGCCGCATCGCAAAAGTGATTCTCTTCTTGGCACTAGCAAGTAGCATTCTGCATTTGTAAGCCCAGCAATGCATCTTTGGCGTCAACGCGTCCTAGCATTTGCGCTGCTTTTGGCTGCTGCCCGTGTCACTGCGCTGAATTATGTGATTTTCGCACCAAATAGCATTCGGTCCAATAGTACATTTCCCGTATCGATTCTCGTGCACAACGCCACTTCGGGTGTGCAGATGGATGTGGCGCTGATTGGAAAACCATTCTCTTCGTACTCTAATAATTACGACAACCCTTTTGTCACGCTCGAATATGTGGAGCAAAGCGATAAAGATATTTCGGTGTTCAGGAGGTCGATTGTTATCCAGGCTGGTAAACTGACTGTGCTGCAAATCGATGTATGTAGAACAGTTCTGTTTTAACAGAAAACAAACCTCGATGAAAAAACTTTGTTATTATCGAGTTTTCAACGCTATCATCGTGACAATGATCCCGCATTTATTAACTGGGTTTCCCACAATTAAATGCGTCTAGTCAAGCAAAATATTTAATATTTTCGTCACAAGTTCTTCTGCAGGTCGGCAACCTTGCGAGTCTAACAAGCGGAACAGCGGCACTCGTTGTTAATGGATCAGACTCGTCGGATTCGTTCCGTACCAGTTATGGACCGTTGACCATAAACACGACTACGGCAACGGAAACCGAAAACCCGGAAGACACCGGTGAAACGCTTGTGTTCATACAGACCGATCAGCCGGTATACCGACCGAAAGACACCGTGCGCTTCCGCGTCGTGTCAGTGAAAAGAGTGGAACACAAACTGCACCCTGTTTTTGTTCCGTTTCATGTCCAGATTTTGGTGAGCCATTTTTTTCACCTGTGCGCCTCGCATAATAGAGATTTTTCCAATTTTTGTAGGATCACAAGTGCAATGTTGTGCAGCAGTTCAGCAACGCTAACGACACGCAAGGTTGACCGAACACTGTGCGCACGCTGCTGTTTGTATGCATGTTTTAACGGTGGACTTTGCTTGGTTTGGTTCCAGTGGTCGGATATTTCTCGGGAGAAGTGCCGTTATCCGCATATCTGCAGAACGCAGGTTGGTGGATTCGCGTGGTGGGCCGTTCCACGGATGCCGACAACTACAGTCTCAAAAATCCAGTACGTCTCTAACTCAAAAGGAGAAGTTATCTTATAATGCAGATTAAAAGCTGCATGGCTTCGCGATATTTATTTAGGCAGTCGAATCGATAACCGAAAGACCAAGAAAATGGCCCAAACCAATCAGCACAGTGTGTGTGTATGCACCTCTTTAGACAGTGTGTATGTTGTTCCATTTTGTAATTTGTGCGTTTTCAAACAGAATAAGATATCTTAGAAACGTAAAGTTTCTCCGGTTAACGTTTTTATATCGCACGCTTTATTCAGGCCAGAGACCATATTTCCGATTTTTACTGCCACGACAGCGACAAAACCTGCGATCCGGTTTTAGCCATGAAAGACTTCATGATCCTGAATGATCGTATGTGTAATGATTAACTTCACTTAACTAACTGTTGTCGTAATTCATACTTTCCTCACAGCTGAACCAAGATTTTCTGTCCGAATTGTGACACCGAAGACATACTATGTCCCATCAATAGACGGGGAATTCGGTTTCCAAGTCTTTGCAGAGTAGGTTTCAATCACTAATACGCCAACTGCGATTTTTGCTGCAAAGATCGGATTATTTAATTAGGTACACTCCTGGAGAAACCGTCATGGGAACATTCGACGTAACGGTGATTAGACCGCGATCCAAAGACGGCGTCTACAGTACTGTATGGAATCAGACTATTTCTGCGGTAAGAAAGCAATTTAGAAAAAGAACTGGACGTCTGTTTATGTCGACAACCAAATGCTGTATTGCAGGAACAATCCTGGTCGGTTTCCTTGCCGGCACAAATCGTGATAAACGGCACAGAAGAGTTCCAGCCTAAAATACTTATCCAAGTTAGTTTCACCGAGGCAGCTACAGGTCAACAAGAGACAGCTAACGCTGTTGTTGCTCTACAAACCGAAGCGTATGTGGTCAAGATCAACACCGAAACGAAGACCTTTAAGCCGGGATATCCGTATACGCTGACGGCTATGATCACCGACTGGGACGGTCGTCCGCCACTTCCCAGTACCAAGAAAGCGCAAGTGGATATATTTTATTACGTTTATGATTCCCTTGGCCAGTCGAAAGCGGTTTCGTTCAGCGGCGCCGTGAACTGCGTGGGTCATAACTTTCCGTCTTCATATGACGGTGGCAGTTACGGCGGTGGCGGTGGCGGTTACGGTGGTGGCGGTTACAACGGTTGTAACGCTCTTCCCGATACCCGATTCATGGAAGTGCACGTTGATGGATCAATCGACGTCAGCGTTCCGACTCCGAAGGATGCCAGTGAGATCGTAATCACCGCTGTGTATGATGGGAAATTCGATGTTATTAGTGTCCTGGCCAAGCAGTCTCCCAGCGGAAGTTTTTAGAATCAGTCAGACCTGGAAGGAATTGCTCGCCGGGAAAAGGAGAAGGGCAGGATTTAGTATCAAGACCACGACGCGAACTAGGGAACCTATCCATTTGGTGGTACGCTTTTAAAGCGAATTAGCTGCTGCAATCCAATTAAACTTTAAGATGATTTTTAGGTACTGTCCAGTTCAAATTCGAGTTTTGTGTGGACCGATTCAGTCTTGACAGGCGGTCGTTACGTGACAGCATTTATACCTATTGCGGAAGCAATGGGTTCCGCGGGACGCCTTATCGCATATTATATAGCAAGCGATGGTGAACTTGTTGGGAACATAATGGCGCTGTCCGTTGCCGATCCACAAGTATGCCTGTTGCAATCTCTGAGTTACTGATACAACACCTTTGGAACGATTTTATTTTGCTGTGCGTATAGGTCAAGGTTGAGGTATATAGCAATAGCTGCCCGCGGTATGTTGAGCCACGCAAAGACTTGAGCGTTTACGCCAGCACAGATCCGTCGGCATTTGTGGCGTTTCTTGCGATGGACGACAACCTGACGCGTTTGCGGTTATCCCACGATATAACGTTTGATATTGTGAGTATATTACTACAGTAACAATCACACGTAAATTTTGTAGAACATAGACATTTCAGATGATTACTTTGACGAAATAATTTTCAGCTAAAGGCCACAAAAAAACCGTCACAGCCAAGACTCAACTACACGCCGTATAACGCAATGCTGTCTGTCGAGGACTACTTTACGGTACAATCGTCTTTTCCATAATAAAGAACCCTTTCCAGGCATAAATATTTCACGCCTACTCACTTGTCAGCTAAATTTGCCTGCAGAAGCCAGTCGATTTCGGTCCGGTACAGCAGTTTCTTCTAACCAATACCACACTACCATCAGCGGTGCATCGATTGGGGTCATTTTATTGGTTACCCAAACAGCGATACCGGCTCGAATGACGAGGGCGGCTCCTCAGCATCCAAGCGATATTCGCCAGTGTCGTACGCCAATGACGGTTACTTTGGCGATGATCCCGAGCGCATATTTGGATCTAACTATGATGTGAGATTTCAAAAAGCTCGTCCCGACAGCCACCGTTACCAGCAGAGCGTCTTGTTTGAAACCGCAACGGCAGAGTAAGCTTTCTTTTCTACCACAGTTTCTAATTATTTTTATTATTATTATTACGGCACAAGAGCAGACAACCCCCGAAGCTTCAAGTCTAGTCGAACCAGGAAACAATTATGCGCTAACATAAAAACTTAAGACAGATCAGTAGATTTGGATAGAAATTTAAAACAGGTACAGAACTGGCATCCAAAACTTTAGGGTAACAAGCAAGAATTTTATCAAGAAGACTATGCGATTACATTGATGAAAAATAACTGTCGTTTGTAGTGACAATGGCTATGTTTCTTTGGAGCGAAAATTTCCCGACGCCGTGACATCATGGTACATGTTCGCGTTTAGCATAAGCAACATCAGCGGACTAAAAGCATTTCCGTAACCAGTTAGAGTACGTTACGTTCTGCTAAAACTGTCAAAGTTGTCACGTGTGTTTCTGATGTAGTTAAAGATGTTCCGGCCGTTTTTCGTCATGTTGAACCTGCCGTTCAGCGTGGTCCGCTTGGAGAACCTCACTGCGGAAGCGGTCATCTTCAATTACAAATCGCGGTTATTTCACAGAATGTCACCGTTGTCCTGGCGATTCGACAACCCGACAACAACACCGTGAACTAAACAAGAAAAGTGCTGTCCATGCCGAACGAACCGATGATCGTGCCGTTTACCATCATTCCTGAACAAATCGGTGAGCTGGTTCTTCAGGTCACCGCTCAGTCCGAGAGAGCATCTGATCGAGTAGAGAAGCGTCTGATCGTCAAGCGGGAAGGTGTCACACAGTTTCACTCTCAAAACCGTTCTAATCGATCTGCGCAACGCGACCACGTTTGATACGGTTCTGTCGCTGCCGGTTGATCCACCTGGGAAGGTCGTCGGATCCGATAAAGTAACGATAAACGTTGTTGGTGACATTCTCGGTGTGGCGATGCGCAATCTGGACAAACTCATCCAACTGCCGCTCGGGTGCGGTGAAAATAATTTGGCACTGATGGCGCCCAGTGTGACAGTGTGGAAATATCTGCAAAAGGTCGGTAAACTATCCACTTTGAAACGCGAAGAGTTGACGAAAAATATTCGGATGGGGCACCAACGAGCTCTGATCTATCAGCATCCGGATTCTTCCTTCGGCGCCTGGGCCAGAACGCAGCCAAACGGCTCATTCTATGCCTGGTCAGCTTCCGATGAAAACGGCTCGACATGGCTAACGGCGCATCTTGCCAGAGTTTTTGCGGAGGCGTCCGCATTGGTTCCTGATGTCGATGAAACGGTGATGCACAAGATGGTCGCTGACCTTATTGGTCAGCAGAGAGACGATGGCTCTTTCGAGGAGACCGCACAAATTTTAGATAAACGCGTTCAGGATGGAGAGTTTAAAGATGTCTCGTTGACGGGATTATGTGTTCTCGCGTTCTTACAGTATAACAGTACAGGGAAAGCTAACTTGGACAACCTGGACGAAGCCATGCGAAAAGCCGTTACGTATCTAGAATCGCAGCTGGATAAGTTGGGAAACGATTCGTTTGCGTTGGTACTGGCAGCGTATGCATTGGCTAAGGCGAACAGTCCGAGGAAGCTGGATGCACTGGCTCTGCTGAGTGAACACATGGTGGCAGAGACTTCGACCATTAACTGGACAACCGGAAGCAGTGGAGATCTGGATGCGGGAACAACTGAAGCAAAAGATGTGGAAGCTTCATCGTACGCTCTGCTGGCATTCATCGCCAATGGAAAGCTCAATACCGCGGCGAAAATTGCGGCTTGGTTGGTATCACAACAAAATGCACAGGGCGGATTTACCACCACGGCGGTGAGTTTGGCTAGCACGTTCCTTAAAAAATGTTGACCTTTGGATGACCTTACCGATTTTCAGGATACCGTGGTGGCGCTGCAAGCTTTAGCGGAGTTTGCGGTAACAGTCACTACTAAATCATCGGTGTAGATCGATATCAGCGGTGGACCCAAGCAAAGCGGTTTCGCGATTACGCCGGAAACAGCACTTGACATACAACCTGCTTTGTTTGCGATTAAACCAGGGAGTATTAAGATTCAAGCCAGAGGAAGCGGAATCGCGGTTGCTTCACTCAGCTGGATTTACAATCTTATTCAGCCCAAAGAGGTTGTTGCGTTTGACCTTACTGCCACCTACAGTATTGTTTCGGGAAAGGAACTTAGCCTGGACATTTGTGCAACGTAGGCAAATATTGCTGGAAAGGATAAATCACCTTATAAATTTGTTCAAAATTCTCGACTACAGGTATCTGTTGGGTGATGCCAGCAGTATGGCGGCGTCGAGATCGACACGCTATCCGGTTATCAGTTTGATGCACGAGAAGTTTATGAGCTTCCGAAAACCGTAGAGCAGCTGCGTAAGGCTGAGCTGAAAAACAAGGACAGCAAGCTGAATTGGTACTTCGACGAGGTAAATAACGCTTGCGTTTTTGACCACGTCATTATCACATAACAAAAGGTCAATAAGCGCGTGCAAGATGAATGGGGTGTTTTTTACTTGAAGATAACCATGCCAGGCAAGTGCTTCCGCCTGACAATGTACCGAATTCACAAAGTGGACAACCTCCAGAATCAGGCCGTTGGGGTGTATGATTATTACAACCCAAAAGATTGACGTAAAGTTTATTATGCCGCGCCATCGTACGACGCTTTAGACTGAAACTGTCATAACTTCATTGTTCTAAAGTTCATTGTATGGTAAAAAAAAGCATAACTTAAATTTCGCATTACTGACGCAAACCATTATACTGGGTTATGCTTTAGCCAAGCTAACTGTTACAATACGTCATACTGATAGGTATTTGGGACACAAACATAAAATTAATATGCAAACCAAGAAAAGCACTTTTGTCGGCGCCATAATCACCTCACTCTATGCAGACAGTGCGGTGCGCATTGAAGCGTGACAAAGATATGCAGAACTGGCATATCCCGTCCAGGATAACCAAAATAAAGAAACTACTCCTAAGTAGTTTCTTTTCTAAATAGCCAAATCAAAAAAATAAATGGCTTGTTTACTCATACAACATCACGTATGTGCACGCACTAAGCGCGTAGCGTGCGTGCTCTTCTAAAACTAATTTTATGCTTTAATTACTTTTGTGTTGAAGTTTTCTGTTTTCGTAACAATTCTGCTTGCCTCACAATAGTATTGATTCAGGTTACCCGCCAGCCGCTAATACGGACGAAGGCCTTGTCAAGAGCCAGTCGCAATCAAGTCGTTTTGTCTGCTGTTTTTCTCTTCCCCCAATCGTTATTCCTATTTTCACTCATTCGTTCTGCATAGATGCCTGTTCATGTGCCATTAGACGCAGCAAGACGGCCAGTGACACCGTGGCAGGAGTTCATTCAGCACATAATCTGTTGTTTTTTCAAAATTTTAATGCCGACCGTATCTGGAGTTTCGCCAATCTCTTTGAAAGATTTTTTTTTGTTTTTACTGTCTGCTGTTTTCCATCTCAAACGATGCCAGTTACAATTAAAAGCCATTCAAGGTCATATAAACTGCCGCTCTGCGATTTACGTTCTCAAATCGCAAGTATATTCCGTCAAAACATCCGGCACATGTGTCGTTAATACATGTTTCATCCGCATTTATAATAAAGGCACTAAATCGTTCTAAAATCCCACATTGTACATTGCACTTAGTCTAGCACTAACATATTTCTACTGGATCTAAGCGGGAGGGAAATCCGGTGGGCTAGCTACATAATCTGCAAGGGACCGCTGCCGGCTGCAACGTTTCTAAAACGTTGTTTATAAAACGGTTATAAAATAATTGCCAGTTCAATACGTACTTTTTTTTCTGCTTAGTCCACAGTCCATCCGCGAAAACTTTACATTTTTGTATCTTTTTCTTTCCGTAACCGCAATAGGAAAATCAGATTTGTTTTTAAGATTTTACAATTATGGAACACAAATATAAATATGCCAACTAAGATAAGTACTTCTCTTCACCTGTGACGTCACAGCCTAAGTTGTGTCACACGGAGGCACCCAATAAACACTAGCCTATCTTGCAGGACCAAGCTTTTAACTTTGGGAGCCCCTTAAGATCAAAATAATTTATTTATCACGTTTTCCTTCTGCAAAGCAAAAAAAAACCACAAATGTTTCAAAATATTGCAATGATCACGTCTTAATTATGAAATTCAAAGCAAGGTAAGGCTGCATGTTATTATGTACAGAGCTGGAGCCGCTGCTTTCGGTTGTTTGCGAGGCTTCAAAGGCGGTATTTTTTTCACGGAACAGAAACTCCCAGCTGTTTGTACCATCATCCTTTTTATACTTAATAGGATAATAATGGGGTATGCGAGGTGTGGTGTAAGAATGTGAATGGGTTGGCATTTCGCTGAGTGAAAGTTTGTGGTTTACTTCCCCACCGGTGGCGCCGACAGAAAAATAGTAACCAACGGGATCGTTGATAGTATGTGGAAGCTGAGCGTTACCAGCTCCGATGGCCGTGCGTCCGCGTAAATCGGGCGTGCGAATGTTGGCTGCATTAACGCCTCTCAGAACACGACACAAGTTTTGGTAAATGCTGCAGTTGACCGCTGCCCCGTCACAAAGAAGCCAGCCCACTGGGATTTCCACTCCGTAGAACATCTGAATCGATCCAGGCGGAATATCGCTCGTTGCTGTGTTGTTAGATGATTGTGATGTGTTATTTGATAACTGCGTGTTATTACATGACAGTTCAGTGTTATTGCTGAATTGTGCTGTGTTGTTAGATGGTGACTGCACCAAGAGGTTGATTCGACTGGTAAGTTGTGCCGCCGACCGTGCCACACGCACCTGGACGCTGGTCACCGTGGCGGAGTTCTGGAGGCGGGCGATGTTGGTGCGGACTAGTTGCATCGGCTTAACGATGAAACGTTCCCCGCTCCATTGGCTCTTGCCGCTAGCTTCGGTCATGGTAGCTATGAACTGCTCTTGTTCGTAATCACTGGCGAACGAACTGGAGTCATTGAAAGCCATTTGCATGGATGCCTGTACACTGACGCCCAGAACGCCAAGGGTCGTACTCCCGCCACCGCTGGAACTGCTGGTTTGACTTTGAGCTAGCACCTCCTTCATCCTGTCTTTCCTTTCGTCATCGGACTTCTCATAGAATTCGTTCAGCGTGCTGGTCACACGGTCGGGTCGGGTGTTTTCGTCTTTCCAGAAAACAGAGTCCCACATTTGCGCCTAAAACGATCATATTCTTAGCAGGTTTACGCAGAATGGCTTTTCGATAGCCTTCAATATCACCGACTGAGCAGACGTTGAAGGTAATGGATCATATGTTGGTTCTTTGAATTTCTTTAAGTGCCTTAAACCTCGAACCACTGATTCGGACAATCTATTTACCGGTGGTACCATCTGAACATTTTGAGGGCATGACAACTTCGAAGTGACAACTGCTAACAGCATAACCCCAAAGCGACGAATATGTACTATATAATATGACTTTGGTGTGAAACTGTGAATTGCTGACCGCAATTCAAACAACACCAAAGTCGGACGTATGGCACTGCTAAGTTTTGTGGTGTCTTTTGTGCCAATTTTCCAATTATGTTACGAATTTATTTGTACGTACGGTAAGCCGTTGTCGGCTGATTTCGCTGGAACGGTTACCTGGAAAGATGCCGATGATTCTGGTTTCATCTGCAGCAAGCTTTCCAAAATATTGGTGATGGTTATAGACTGGTCTTGCCCTATGAACTCATCATCCACCACTTCCGTCGCCATAACATTTGTGGCGATTTCCAAGGTCATCTGGGTGAGGTCATCGGCTTTCATGTACACCACACTAGTGTTGGGCACTTGCTGTTGCAGCTGACTGAATAGCCTTCCGGCTTGCACGTGCTCCGCTTTGACCTGAACAATGCGGCGTGCGGCGCGAACAGTAATTAAACTATAGGAGACCTCCAGGTCATAAACGAATAACTGTGGATTTTTCTTGACTTGCTGCGCTAAGATCTCACAGACTTCCATATTGATGCAGCTAAAGCGGAAATCAAAGGTGGACGGCTGTGCAGCATAGGACACCCAGTTGTTGACTATTTCGTAATTGCTAGGCGCGAACCCTAGACAAACCCAACAAATTACATTATATTATAACATGAAAAAAAGCAGTTCAACATAGAAATTCATTTATATATTGCACCTCCGGCTGACCTAGAGCGTCAATTCGGATTTGCTCAATCGGCAGCACGCGTATGCTTTCCTTAGGCACCCGCTGTCCCAGCCGTCTACTAACCGCTTCTCGTACAAACTCCTCATATTCCTCATCCCACATCAGAACTGTAAAGCTCATCTCCGGCCGGTCTTCTTGCAGCGTATTCAGATAGGTCTTGGCACTGGCCGGGTCAATAAACAACGCTGGTGGATAGAAGTACTGCACTGACCCCAGTAAGTTGGTGTCGTTGGCCGTTTTGTAGATGTTGATGCGGAAGCCACGATACATAGCCGACAAAAAGGCGTTAGGATTGACTAACACGTCGCCCCAGCCGGTCACAGCTTTATTGGCGGTCAGCGCAGCTGGGAAACATAATTCATGTTCGGTACAGACATACCGGTGGTAGACAACCATCCACCAAAAAGCTAGCCCACTGACTGTGGTCTGTTCAAACAGAAATCGCCGAAGCATTTTGGTGGGTTCGCTTTTAAGGACCAGTTTACAATTTACACTCACTTTACAGAATACAAATAGTTTTGAACTTACCTCGTGCAACACTGGATCTTATGCGAGGAGGTTCAACATCTTCCGTGCCGGTGGACCACCCAGTGATTAGGCAGGCTAAGACCGCAATATACAGCCTCGCCATTGCGATTTGTTTGTTGCTACCTAATTTTATTATTATTGTTTCAAGTACTACTACAATGTAATAACTACTACAGTTATAATAAAAAATTATCAGCCGGTAACGAGATGTCGATTCGGTACAAAATGGCAGGCATGCGGAGAGAAAGATTTTCGACAAATCTAAAGTGAGGTCTGTGTTGTCGCGGTAATGACTTTCCTGTTTTGATTAAAGAGGCTTTTTATACAAAATCAACAAGCTGATCTACAAAAGAAAGGTTCGTGAAGTGTAAATAATGTTATCTACCAGCTATAGTCATAAATCAAAATGCCCTAATTCAAGTACAAAGCACATTACGGATCGCACGAAATGTATACGAGTCCAGCGGTGACCCTATCTCGGCCAGACAATACGCCGGCTAGCTCTTATCGCATTCGTCAAGGTAAACAACTACTAGTTAGCTGTATTACTAGTCAGCTGTTAGCTGCTGTCAGCTGTAGCCTGTAGTTACCTGAAACTGCAGCAATTTTACCATGGAAGCGCAGCTACTACAGAGTGTAGAATGGTCTATGCATAGCGCACGATGCCCGGCGACTATCAGTTTTGTTAGCTTGCTATGTAGGCTGTGTGCACGCATCCGGGCATTACGGTGGCCCTACTTGAATAAATACAACAGGCACTTCAGCACTGTAAACGGCGACTCAATGATATTTTTAACAATGACGAGGATAGTACTTCCGCCTTGATATCAGTGTTTTTATTTATCAACAAGATGCAGTTGTTCGCCATTATAACAGTCACAACCAAGCAAATAAATTGATGTTATAGCCTGTCTCAATGTGGACGTAATATGATGTCAGAGCCACTCAGAGGCAATTTTAGCATTTATCTCTCCCTAAGCCTTTGCAACTTTGCGGTGCTTGGTTAATAGGAAATCGTTTATTAGGCCCCAAAACTTTTCGCTTAAGACAATTAGAAACGTAGGACATTTGGTCGCAGACATTTCGCCGAAAATTCGTTTCGGCGCGGGACATTATGCTCCGAGGCGCCGCAAGACCGTTTTGACGCCGAGACATTTCGTCTTTAACACCAACAATTTAATGGGCTTATTCAAACAGTCTTGAAAACTGAATTAAAAACTAGACAACCTTAGAATCAGAAAAAAATACATATAGAAGCGCGTTCTACTGCGTTCTTAAGCAACGTTTTAGTCTTGCTGTTGCTTTTTTTAATGTTTAAAAATTTGAACTATGTATTAAGTAGTGCACCAGCGCTTGAATGTTATGTGGGAATCTATTGCCATTAAAGCGTACCAGAAACATGAAGCAGAAAAACTAAAAAAGCTCGGGAAATCTATAAAACAGAGTTAAGAAAAAGCGACTAAGAAAACCAAAAAAATCATTAGAATCATCAAGCTGTGGTTGGACACCAAAATTAAATCAACCAAACTGGGATTTATCCTGCAAGCCGCCTGCATGCTGCCGGTGCCGGTTAGCCGGATGTGCGCGTGTGTGGTGGCGCGTGCCAGCCAGACGCCGCAACAGGATGGCGCCAGTCGCGTGGATCACTGATTCCCACCATTCCTAGCTTACCTAATTCACAGCTGCTTATGCGCGGTCATGTTTGCATGTTCTTGATGAGAACTGTTACAATGGTGCATATATGGAATGTGGCGATGGCTGTTCTCGTAGGCTATTACAGCGAGCGTTTACTGTACGCTGTTTATGTTAGTCTACAAGTATGTTCGTCAGTAGTATGTGCACTGGTCCGGCAGCATCTCTGATTGGTCGAAACCGAGACTGAGGCTGAGACAGGGCCGCTAGTCTGGCTGTCTGCTCTGATTGGTCGAAACCGAGACTGAGGCTGAGACAGGGCCGCTAGTCTGGCTGCCTACTCTGCTTGCCTGACTCCACCTCCAACACCGAGACTGAGCCCGAAACAGGACCGCTAGTCTGGCTGCTTGCTCTTAAGCCGAGACTGAGACCGAGGCAGGACCGCTAGTCTGTCTGCTTGCTCTTAAACCGAGACTGAGGCCGAGACAGGACCGCTGATATGGCAGCCCACCGTGAAGATTACTTGGTCGGCGGTTACCTAACCCGTGCACCATTGAATCAGACCAATTAGACCAATTATCACAGTAATCGCATTGTTTGTTATTCAAATAACCACAGGCAAACTTCATCCAGCAGTTTTCCAATGGTACCGAAAAGTTCGCGTAAGCGTCAAATATACAAAACTAGTTTTTGAATAACGGCTTATCAAGACGACAAATGCATAGGCCATGTTGGTCAATACTCACAACCACACCAACATGAACACAGAGTTTCTTGCTGGTGAGTTGCAAGGATTGGGCTTCCTTAGCCTCTTTTTGTAGCAGCCGCGAATGCTCCAATAATAAAGTTGAATGTGAATAAAACAATTTGTTTATTGCTTAGTACCGAAAGGTAGCGTTCTGAAATCGGGAAGCAACATACGCTTGTCATAAACCATTCTTAACTTCTTAAACAAACAAACAGTATTAATTTCTTGTGTTTTGCCGTTCCGCTTGATGAATTCAGGATAAATGATTTGAACATGGGATTCTGTCCCGTCCAACAGACGCTTCAGTTTGTCGAAGTCCAAGGTCTGTCCAGTACGGTCGAAGGACTTGGTGACTTCATTAAAATCCAAAATATCCTCTGTGTACCCGTTTTGTGTAAGGCCTTTCGCCTAAGAACAATAAATATTATAGATACTGTACATACATATTTACTGCACGTCTACGTACCTTTAATTCGATCCGACCAGTGTCAGTCTCGTAGCTGTAAACCTTTGGGCCGCACGACACAAACTTCACAATGTGGCTCTCACCCGCCTGTAACTGGTTGTCCCAGTCGCCCAGGATGCTGCCCGTCTCCGGCACCCAGTCTCCGGGGCGGGTGAGAAAGACGACTGAATCAGTATCATAGTACATGAGGCGATCGCCCAGCTTTTCCATCATATCCAGTAGGATTAGGCGAGCATTGGCGGTGGTGAACGCGGCCAGGGCAACGTTTGTAGCGTTACTACCCTCGTTGTAGTCTTCTCCCTTAGAATATGTCACCATGAGATAGTCCTCGTTGATGGCAAAGACATCATGAATTTCAACGGCCTTGGAACGGATCATGTCCAAATAATCCTTGGTTTTGTAGACGAACTTGGTCATAGTCATATCATCTCGCTGTCCCTGCTTGCCCCACAGGTAGTTAAGACAGTTTTTGGCCACGTTACGTCGGCCGGCATCGTAGAACATAGCGGCTGGGTCGAGATCGATTCCTTCACGTTCCTTGACCTGACGAAAGTATTCATCCTTTTGCAGCTGTGTCTTACACCAGCTTGGCCATCCGCTAGCCTCCATCTTTATTTTCAGGAACTTGTTAATGTACCCAGCATAAACGCCAGCCTCCACGGTTTCCCAGTGCCATACCTCATACACTTCTTGCACGGTGTGTCCTCTGGTGATGGCGTGGTGGAGCTCCGGGGTTGTCCACACCCCCTCGAGGCAGCGGTCGGCATCGCTGTGCTTGCAGAATTCATTGTTCTTAATATCCGCACACGTTCGGCAAAGCGTGAATACCAACTTTTTGTTTATCGTGGCTGGAAGAACAGGGTACAAGCACTGTGCTGGTGGTAACACTTTGCAGGATATCAGTCCGTAATAGTCTTTGACATCCGCAAAGTCCGACAGGATGATTTTTGGCTGTCCAATGGGATAAGTCTTTGTCTTGTTGACAAAAGGGTACAGGCTGACGACGTCGAAATGCATAATCATTTCTCCTGGTCTTACTGCGTAGTACAAGCGACTGGCATTGGTACGACCGCCTTTGGAGGCGTCCCGCGGATTTAGTGGTTCCCGCAGTCTTTGTCCAGAGAGAAAATCAGCGGTATCCGTTTCTTGGCGCTCTTTTATCCATTCACACTCCCACTTTGTAACTACTTCATACTTCTCATCCTCTAGGTAACGTACACGATCCAGGTATTCCTCGTACACTTCGCTCATCTTTTTACGAGAGAAAGGAGACCGATCATCTTGTTCAGTGCATTCGGGGTGCCCGTGGAATACACAGCCGTTGTACTCGTAAACTGTACGAGTACTAGCATCAAAACCATCCACAAAGTACGGTCCGATGTGGACTTCCTTGCCGTTTCGTCCGTGCTGAATGCGCCCACCAAGGTCTCGATTCAGCAACTCCATCCATTGCGTGGCTTGAACGCTGGTGCGTCGGTTGCGGTGGGGGCCATGATCTGACAACACAGCTAACTTTTCAGGTTCCAGATGGAACGTGCGGTAATACTTATTGCAGGCGGATGACATAGTGATACTGTCCAGCGGGTTCAGATTAGTGAGAGCGATGAAATCCTCTACAAACTTGAGGGCACAGCATCGGAGAACGGTGACGTCATTCGAGCAGTACGACATGATTTCTGCACGAAAGTCGAACTGTCCCCCCGCAGCGGCTTTAGTTTCGGCATGCCACTTTAGGAAATCTTCTTTATCGTTCTTCTTTAGACCGTCAAAAACGTACATTTCCGGTTCAGGCCACGGCAGCACTTTATCCCAGTTCTCAGGTCGATTAAAGTGATGCGGAAAATCACCCTTCTTTACTTCCACCTCCAGACCAACTGCTTTGGGCAAACTGCTGAGTTTCATAGGCATAAAATTCAGTGTGTCACGGGAACACATATTTAACGAACGGTAGCGCAGCTCCAGAAGCTGGGTTTCCCTCTTGATGACTTCCACACCGCGTAGTTTATTGTCCAAAAGGTGCTTTAGGAGAAAGTGCCCGTCATATCCCCGGAAGTTATGCGCAATGATGGTATGATGGTTGTGCTGCTCTGAAAACAGCCATTCTCCAAACTTCTGTCTGACATCCTTGGTCATTGGTTGACCATCCGCCGGAAATCGGAATTCCGTACCGTCTTCGTACTGGGCCACAACACAACTTGGAGCATGTCCATTGACCGGATCATTGTACGTCTCATAATCGAAGAAAATGTATCGCTTCGGCGGCTCTGGTTTATCTGGTAAAGTCGGTAAAGGCTTTGGAAGGACTTTTATGAAACACCTATGCGTGGCTTGAGGAACCCACTCACGGCAAACTGTGCAAAACATCTCCCCACACTGGTGGTTACCATTTGGACGACGTGTCAAGTTCACAAAGCGGCGGCAGTCTTTACAGTAAAACATCTGGGAACAATAGGTTTTTCCGTTACGGCGAACAGCTTTGTGGATGGTGAAGCATTCCTGGTTGTTGAACGTACGGCGGCAGTCGCCACAGCGAACAACCACCCCTTTCACACATTCACTAACTGATCGATAACAAAAGCGACAGTTCCCACCGCATCGATGCTGCTCCTTGTGACTGTACGGCTTGTCACACTCTGAGCAGAAGTATGACGAGTTGAAAATACCGGTCGCCGTAGTCACGCTGTCAAAGTGATTCTTCTCCAACAAGACAAAGATTTCCTTCATATCCTTTGTTTTCTTTTCCGGCACACGGGCGATAATGGTATTGCCGTGATCCGCCGAAATAACTTTAACCTGGAATTCGAAAAGCATTCTTCCTGGATGGCACTCAGGTCGTTAAGGTTGTAGCACCGTCCCAACGGTAAATCAGACAGCTGGATAATTTCTCGGGCATGGCCTGTCAGCTTGTTAATTCCTTTCTCACTGTAGAGGTGCTTCCACTGGCTTTTGTACGTTCCTTGAACATCATGCGTCAAGCGGTACTTGCCCAAGTACAGCGCTGCTGGTAGACAATAGTTATTGTGCACACGGACAGTAACAATGGACGTGCTGAAACGTTTGGCGTCGCGCGCTACGTGACGATGTAAAAACCTCCACCACTCGGCATAATAGTGCGAAAAATCCGGATTGAAAAGGTATCGTCCAGCACCATCCGCCCGGAGTTGGCCTTGGTACATACAGCAACAAGGTCGTCGACACTGAAGTCTGACAATTTCCGCATAGACAAGTAAATTGGGAATTCCAGCGACGCACAGCTAATGGAAATGGTAACACGGTCAGATGGTTGAAACTGAGCCACGCAGAGATTCAATATGGATTCCAGCAGTAAAGGCAGAAGCAAGACTGTTTCTTCCTGAGAATAAATACGCGGCAGGGCGGCGATTTCCACACGGTACTCGTACTCGGTGCTGTTGAATTTCTTGAACTGACGCTCTTTGTTTTTAGTCAGGCTGAAGAGTGCTGAGAAATCCGGAATATCACTAATTTCTTCAAGCGTCTGCAGATATATTAGAATAAGAATGCTTTGAAGATTATGAAAATAATAAAAAAACAAAATTAGAGTGTAACTGCATCTAGAGTAGATTTCCTTGTAATCAGTTTACAAAACCGACTTGTTGGTTTTGCGAAAAACTAACTATAGCAAATTCAATTTTCGGTTTTATTGAGAAAATTTATTCTTATTTTATTAATTCGTTAGCTTACTAGTGGGTTTTGCGAAGCTGCATCTGGAATGTCAATGTCCATGGCACCGTCCGCCGGTTCCCCCGCGCCTTCTTGATTAACACCCATTCCCACCTAGATCGTTAAAATTCGGTAAGTTCGCTGTATCTAATAACAAATAATGCCACCTCAAAACACAAAATATGGTATGTGTTGTTGCCTGTACTGTAGTCTGCTCACTTTCAAAGGTCACAGATCTGCATATAATACCGACCCAAATAAACTGATCATTGCGTAAAGTATGCAAAAAGTACAATGTCATCGAAAGCTATTGTTCTAACTGGGACAAATCCGTATTATCAAGGTGGTGTACGTCAAAACAGTATTGTTCTAAGTGGGTCAGATACGTATTAATAGTTGGTTTTCATCAAAACAACCTTTGTTCTAAGTGGATCACAAGGCTGACTCAGCTATTGTTCTAAGCAGGACAAATCCGTATAAATAGTTAGTGTTCATCAAAACAACTTTTGTTCTAAGTGGGTCAAACCCGGATTAACAAGCTGGCGCTCATCAAAACAACTTTTATTCTAAATAGGTCAGGCTGACTCAGCTATTGTTCTAACCAGGACAAATCCGTATTAATAGTTAGTGTTCATCAAAAGAACCTTTGTTCTAAGTGGGTCAAAAGGCTGACTCAGCTATTGTTCTAAGCAGGACAAATCCGTATTAATAGTTAGTGCTCATCAAAACAACTTTTGTTCTAAGTGGGTCAAACCCGGATTAACAAGCTGGCGCTCATCAAAACAACTTTTATTCTAAATAGGTCAGGCTGACTCGGCTATTGTTCTAACCAGGACAAATCCGTATTAACAGTTAGTGTTCATCAAAACAAACTATCGGCAGCATTGCTCTAAGTATGTCAAACAATTAACTCGCATCATCAGTAAAATTAAAATTGCAATCCCATAAAAATTTATCAATTTTTTTGTAATGTTTAGGCGTATTTTAACAGACGCTTTATTATATATAAATTAATAAAAATCAGCAACACTCATTTACCAAAGAGCATTGAAATATAACATATTTACAAAGAATAACTTAACGTTTTAACGATGCAGTTAACGACGTGCTATAACAATACACAGTTCTGATTTAGATGACTTTGAAAACAAGACAGATTTCGGAATTTTAGTGCTTACAACGAACATAATTTTAAATAAGTTAAAAATTATATAAAATTTATCACGTTTTGATTAATTTAACGAAAGGTCACTCACCCTCGCATCATCCTCTGGATCCCATTGTCCTTCTGTCAGTATGGCCTCCATGTCCTGGCGAGTCGCATCAGTAGAGTGATATGAAGCAGAATCCCACTGACCTTCGGCAAAGATGGCGTCCGCATCCATACGATCAGCATCGGAAATAAGGTAAGGCGGAGATGGAAGAGCAGTCCAGTCACCCTCAGCCCAAATGGCATCCGCATCAACACGGTCCGCATCGGTGATAATGTACTCGTCCATGGTTCGTTATCCAAATCAAAAAGTTGCAACTGGAAGTCAGATGCACTAACGCGCCCTTTTTAAAGGCAGTGATCGCCAACTCACACTGGTGATGACCCAATTTCAGACTGGCGATGAACGCCCACCTCGGATCTGATTGGTCACTTTCCCCCTTTCTTTTGTTAATTTTTCCCACCCCTTTCTCTTTATTAGTAGTTTCATAACGTACAGCATTTAACAAATAAAAATTGTATTCCACTCCCAGACACGAGCCCGACAAATAGGACAATGATACATACGCATAGAACACGCCTCACAGCAAGCTGCGTGACCACAAGGTTGAAAAGCACACTTTATATCGGCATTCAAACAAATAGTACACTGCGGTTTTTGTGAAGTCTCTTTACGCTCAGCGTAGACGGCAGCCGCCGCGGTGGCCACTTGCTCCGATTTGGCAACGGCTTTGGCGATGATTTCCTCCGCATATTGTAATCCTTTCTCCTGTTTCACAAAGCTGCAGCTGTACAGCCCAACACCATGACGCGCGTGTTCCTCCCACGGAATATCCTCCACCTGCCAGTTTTCCAGATAAATGTTACAGGAAAAACACTGGACACGATCCTTTGGTCCGGTAAAAAAGAATCCCGCTTCGGCCATTTCTCGAAGGTGTTGTTTATATGCCCAGTTATAAAATGTAGCGAATCTCGTTTTAACATCAGCCATCGGTGAATGTAACAACGATCCAACTCTGGAACAACCCACTGATTCTATGTCGTGTCGCAGTACAAGGTTTTCATCCCCTTCCCAGTCGCGCGCAGTCCAAGCGCAATAAGCACAACCGACTTCATCCGGAAACTTCTTGAAAAACAGACCGACAAGTACCAATCTGGATGGAGGGGTCAAAGGCCATGGCCAACTGACAAAAAACCGAACACGGTTTTCAACAATTGTCATATCCGGTCTCTCCATTTTTGCAGCATTAAATTTCTTACCATCTACATCGGCTTTATATAGCATCGTTTTCGCCAGTTTGAACTGGCGACGTGACTGGCGCTGAGTCATCACTCATCATTATGTCTAGTACATTCTTTGTAAGCTGGGTGGATTCCGCTATCCGGGTTACGTTGGGTTTAGCGAATTGGCCACATATTTCTAAAATATTAAAAATCCGTAATAAAATGGTGATGAGAATTCCAAAAATAATAGAAATTATCTCTTTGATTGTAGGTTTATCCATGATTTATTAGCGATTTTATGAATTCGTTGTCTCTTAGTTTTGTGCTTATACGGAAGAATTTATTGATAAATTTGCATACGAATTTATCGTTCACCCCTTTATGCTTGGAGAATGCCGACATTAGATCTTTATACGAAAAACCGTAGCATCGTAATAATACATAAAACATACAGTACTGACCGCATACGGTGCTGTCGGTGTTTTTTCTTGTAGTATTGGACATAATGACGTAATCATCACCCATCCATTCTGCAATATCCGACGAATATTCCGCAGGATTACGACCATACGAATCAAACGCTTCTAACATGTTTTGACGAACGCAGAAGAAGGCCACCCAGTGCTCACCGGGACTCCCCGTTTTTTGTGTGTTTACGATATATGCACCGGGGTATTGTTTTTCTGGTATAGTGTTACTAGAAAAAACACCAAAAAAAATATCGCGAATTTTAGGATCTGAAAAAAGGGATTTTTCGATTTCTAAATTATTCATGGCGCAAAATCAAAAAGTACTTGTCTATTATTGTTTATTTCAATAATATTATCGTAAACTAGCATGGCGATACATACAGCTGCTTCTGGTAATGGTTTGGCAAAACGCATGCTCATATTTAAATTACCTTGTCGAATGAGCGATAAAGCACCACGTCCTGTATGTCCTCTCGTAAAATCAAAGCCATAAATACAAAATCCACCTAAATTATAATCAGATCTGTCAAAGGGCAGCTCTCCGAAACCTTCGTGAAGGCGCTCCAGCGTATCAAAAAGTCCTTCGTACGGCTCCAAACTAGCCCCGTTTTCAAAATCCATATTATATCCCCGAGTTGGAAATATTTGCCCGTCTATTTCTGCATGCAAGTAAGCCAAACTGAAATGATTAAAAGCATACGGCGTCGAAGTATATTCCCCATTGAATGCCCTACTCGGTACCATGGCGAACAACATAACCTTGGGTAACTGCCCGATAACAAGATTGGGCCAAATATGTTGCTGTTGTCCGGCAAACAGAGTAGTTTGCCGCATAGCAACACGTTCAATGTGGTACTTCGCATTTGTTGTAACTAATTGCTTACTTAAAGCCCCTAGAAAATCGGGCGATGGCTCGTATTTTCTAATTTTTAAACGTGGGTTTTTGATAATTACAGATTTTGGTTTTGATAAATCGCTGTCCATCATAAAGACCAGACTGTTTTTATTACGCACTAATTTTATGCTCAACTCGACACCTGGTATCAGTGGTTTGTCCTGTTGGAACAAATCACAATGCAGCTTTCCTGATAATTGCAATGGGCGGCACGCTCGAAGCCACATTCGTCTTAACTCTGCTCCTTTGCTAAAAAAGATCTTTTCATTGTTAACTTTGGCTTCGTAATATGGATCTTGCTTCCACAGTAATGTGTCCATGGCAAACCCAG